TCTGGTGAACTCACGTGGGGTGATAGAAGTTGGTATCCAAGTTACATTGCAAAGTAGTATGAACTGAAACATTGTCCTGTTGGAAACACCCTGATGAAGTTTGTCGAAACAAAACAAATTGAAGAGAACTCCATATCATCATCATCATCATCATCACCGCCACCACCACCTTATATGCAGTGTGTAAAATACATCTCTAGTTGTAAGAATTGAGAAAACAAAACAGAAGTCGAACTGTGTTTGATGAGTCTTTTAGTGAAAAGATATACAACACATGCGTCCACATAACAGCCCGCATGCAATACACCTTGTACATCGAGATGTCAGCTGCTGTATCTACAACTGGTCATGTCACACACAGACGACATAGGACATAATCTCACTTAATCTCACAATTTACCGTGGGCATGGATTAGGGATGTCACGATACAGGGACCTCACGATATGATACATCTCGCTGCTGAGGTCAAGATACAACATTTCGGACATTTTGCGCATGACAAGCAGGCATTACCTGGGTGGCAAGCTCATACGATAGCTCACCAGTGACCGAACAATTTGGTAGAGATAATTTTCGTTTTGTCTCTGTTTACACACAAATTATGTTGGTCAGAAAATATGTCTAATTCATCTATTTCTTTCTGTAAACCGCTAACAGTACTAGAGAATAATACGTTATCATCGGCAAAGAGTAGCAGACACAGTTGTATTGTATCTGGGTATTGTATCTTGTACATATTTGCACTGCCAATTCATTAATAAAAAACATGAAAAGGAAAGGGCTTAAAATACAGCCTTGTCTAACACCTAGTTCACTAATAAAAGGTTCATAATAAAAGGATAATTCATGCTTATTCCTTACACACACTTTAACATTTTCTTGTATAGTCGTCAACATTTTTTTCATTTTACTAGTAAGGCCGTGCGATTGCAGAAGTCCCCATAGTTTATTCCGCTACACAGAATCAAAAGCTTTTGCAAAATCCACGAATAATGCTCCACCTTTTGAGCTGAGATATCTTTGCATTAGACTATGCAGTATAAAGATATTATCTGTTGTTGTATATCTCTCCCTAAAGCCCGCTTGACCCTCGTATATCTGATCCACGACGTCAGCCCATTTAACTAATTTTTTGTTGATAATATAGTAAAACAACTTGCAAAATGTACTAAGTACAGTTATTCCACGGTAGTTATTGTTATCTTTAGGATCACCCTGTTTATAGATTGGTACAAGAATGTCAATTGACCAAGATTCAGGAAAGTTCTGTGTCGTGAATAATGTTAAATATAAGCTCAAGATGGAAGTAAAAGATCAGATGAATGTTTGAAAAATTCCGGGAGGATGTTGTCTATTACTGGTGATTTATTACACTTTAGATATTGTATACTATTTAATATTTCATCTCTACTTATTGGGGCATCTGATATGTGAACAGACTCAGTATCGTTCATACAGTCATTTCTATATGGATCCGGGTTGTTATCAGAGGTGGAGAATAGTGACTGAAAGTAATTGAGCCATTCGTCGATTTCAATGTTGTTGTTTTGACTATTCTTAGGATTTAGTACTTTAAGAATTATTTGGGATCATTTATATTATTTTCTAGTTTTTTTTCTTTTCTGTTCCATAAATACCTTTCTCTTTTCCTTGCAAGTTGAATTATATCTATTTCTAGCTTTGTGATAACTCTCCTGGGATTGCAAGGTCTTATCTTTTCGGAAGAGGTTTAAGAAATTTACACCTTTCTTTGTTCAAATGATCACATTCATTATCATACCAGGTATTCGTATTATGTTTTTCTGAAAAGGGGCGTATCCGTTTTTTCATATCTGAAGCAGCTCGACACAATACTTCTACGACATAATCTACACATTGACTTATATCAGTGAACGCTACATCAACAGATTTATCAAATAAGTCTGGTATTTTAGATAGTAAATTAATGCTGACTTGCGACAGCACCGTATTGTATGCTTCATGATCAGATTTAGATTACCGCTTATAGTCTTTGACTGTACTAGTGGGCGATGCGCACGTAAATCTAAGGTTAACGGGAGATGAAAAGACTCTGCTTTGAAATAGTAGGTATGACAAAATCTAATACTTTGTGAAATAGATGTGCAGAAGCTAAGATATAATCTTTACCACATCTGCCATTCATAATGTGTGTATTTGAAATGCTACATACATCTAAGAGATACCTACCAAAATGGTTGACGACTTTGTCACAGGAGAACCGTTCTAGGTTAAAATAATCTCACATGGAATGATCTTTACTTTCCGTATGATATATAATGTCATCATCAACAAAGTCGGGAAGTGTAGCTGTCCGAGCATTACAATCACCCCCACAAAGCAAGTATATACCTGGTAGATCAGACATGACATCCAACAGTTTCTCCTAGAAAAGTGAAGTACCATTTTCACAATGTCCACTCAATTTCTCAAACCAATAAGATCCCTCCGGTTGTATATATACACAGCTATATAAAAGAGCTCTTCGATGTCAAACTGATTTCTCAAATAATGTAAAAATTCCGTAGTATCATAATATCTACACTAAACGCCAAAAGAAACGTTACCCTCCTATCTTTATGAATTACTTAAAAACTATCAAAGATGTTAGAAGGTATTAGCTTACAAGAAAGCTTAACAACACAGTTTTTATGCAAATGACGAAAAAACATTCTCAAATGCATTCATATTTAGGTGAAATGCATCTTTTTCAGAAGAGTTCAATTGTCCTATGTTCGACCATGCTGAAATAAGCCAATAACAGTGATTTAGATGTCCAAAAGAAAGGTTGAAAGAAAATTCTGCTTTGAAACAAAGATATACATTGAAAGTCACCATTTCAACTATTATAACAAGAAACAACTGTTGTAGAGTGTGTAAAATTGTAAAAGAATAATTCATATGATTTCAGTCTTTTAAAACATTTTCTGCTGATTTGCATTAGTGAAAACATGCACAACGTGTCTTTGATATTGTGAAAAAGTCTTTAGGAACACCTAAAATTATCCTTCATAACATTTTTGCTCGCAAAGGGACATTTTTCCATTTTCAGTTTACACATTGCAAAATCAATCGCCAAAACGTAGCAATAGTCAAGCAGTATTTACATCAATTTCATGTGTATAATGATTCTTTACGGTATAAAGAGTGCCTAGAATGCATGATATGACACACAATTACGAGAAATATGCCACGACTAACAGAGAGAGAGAGAGGGGAAGAGCCATTGAGATGGTGCAGATGGGGTCGACGTACAATGCAGTTGCCAACGCCCTCGGATGCCACCGTATCACCGTTATAAGACTTAAGCAGCGCTACAGACAGACTGGGGTCACCGTAGACAGACCGAGAAGTGGACGTCCACACATCACAACGCCAGCTGAAGATAGGTACACCTGAGGAACAGATTTCTATCGGCGACGTCGTCAGCAAGGACAGCTCTGGTACGTCAAATCAGATCGACGACAGATCGTCACCCAAACACGCTTCCCCAACAGAACAATGCACTCCCTCACGTAGCAAGAATGACGACAAACTTCTTCAACGCCAACAACGTCAACGTTTTGCCATGGCCTTCAAGATCGCCAGACATGAACCCCATAGAACATTTGTGGGACTATCTATATAGATGGCAGGGATCGTTCGCGTCAACAACAGCCCGCAAGAGCCCGCAACTGATCACTGCTTTGAGAGAAGAATGGCGTCGTATTCCAGCCGCCTTCACCAGAAGATTGACATTTTCTGTGAGGAGACGTGTTCTGGCATGATTGCATGCCAATGGTGGCCATACTAGATATTGAAAAAGTCGTGAAATAACAAAATTATGAAATTTACATTGTTTTGTTGTCTTTTTGTGTCGGATCGACAACTTGACTTTGTAATTAACCAACTATATCATTGCAGCAGCAGAAAAATCAACCAATGTTCTCAAATCTTTAGTGACTATATGGTTCCATATTGTTTGGCTATAAAATGCAGCAGAAGGTTTCATCCTCACTTGAGTAGATTTTCAGAAATTCATTAAGGAAGGAGGGTAACGTTTCTTTTGGCGTTTTAGTGTATATTTTGACAGTAACAAATCAGATTTAAATAAATAAGGAGACCCATTGAGATAGGTGATTCAGAACCTTAGGGTATCGAGACTTGCTTCATTAAGGGCTTTAGCACTGCTGAAAGGGCTTGACAGAAGGGAAAAGATGTGGTTCAGGAGCTGTGAGATCGACTAGATTAAAGGTTTAGATGTCGATGTTTACGGATTTATTAACGATGCATTGACATGACATAAATGTTGTGATGTTATAAGTTTAACTGGGTCATCAAAAGGTAGGACACACATGCACTTATTTTCACAAAGGCACACCTAAATTATCTGTATGGCACCCTTAACAAATTGCAGTTCTATCCCTGGCCAGTAACGTGTATAAGTATATGTCTAGTAAATAGGTGGTACTGTCAGCCGAAGTTCCTGTGGTACAATAATATACTTTGGGATGACCACAAACTCTGAAATGATCAATTTCAAGGCCCATAGATCATGTGAATATGAACAATGTTAGAACAAAGTTTAGATAGTTGACTACCGGGCTATTCATCAAATTATCCAAAAGCCTGAGTAAAACATTTCCCAATCTGAACATGATTGTCATTTGTATGAAATTGATTTTATTGAAAAACTTAAAATAATAAGAAAAGGGATATATATAAACTGAGATATCATGCTAAAACTTTAGATCAATGTTATTGTTACAACATGATGTCCATAGGGGTGCCGTTTTCCAAATGACCATGTTTGGCAGCTTGACTCCTGAGAGTGTCTTGGACTTCAGTGCTGCCCCACAACGAAGCACAGGTGAAACATATTGTCTCACCTTAGGCCTCTGTTCACCCAGCAGAAAATGGGTACCCGGTGAGATAAGTCATGTGACAATAACGTTCTTGTGCCTAACAGGCAGCTTGGGTTATCCGGGGTAATAATGGTAGGTATAGATAGATCGTCTTTATTTCCTCCAAAATTGAAGATACATATACATGATTCAGCAGATGTTACATTTTACAAAGTACAAGTGTATGAACGTTATAAAATACAAAAACATTTGAAAATATGTATATATAGGGGGATGTGAATCTAGTAACGTATAGAAAAGCAGTTTCCATTCATGAACATTCCACAAGCTTTACTTGTGGTTTTCATACATTGAATCCATAGATAAGTATCAAGATCTCTAATGTTATCATTTGGCTCTCCTCCAAGTAGAAAACTAATCAATACATCATCATCATCACATCATCATCATCATCATCATCATCATTATTCCAAACACGTAAGAGAGCTAAATAGTCGCTCTCTGTTACATTCCGTTTGTGGACAAAACAGAAATACATGTTTTACAATATCATAAGCATATGCGCCACAAGCATTCTTTAGATTGTATAGCGAATGTGCTGACACGTATAAGGTAAGATATGTCATAGAAATAATCTGAATCATTAAGAGTTATTAAACAAAGTCTGTGACGAGCAGCTGGATTGCGTAAGAGAGTGTATCTGTGGAGATTGAATCTGTAGTTAAGTTCAGAGGTAACGACATTTGCTTGAAATTAAGATAAGTGTCAACATATTCCGTAAGACCATATTTACAGGTAAGATATATAACACTTGGTGTAAAGGAGAGGATTTACACTTCAGCATGTTTTGCATACTATACTATACTGCTGTCATAACTACTGAAAACAAGCCACTGACTGTCCCTGATGTGTCTTAATCTCAAAATAAAGGAATGTACTATTGTAGACCATTTTTGCAATATTTTCTAGAAGTATCCATTCAAAGCCTAAGATATACCATATACATGAGTATAATGTTTCCAATCACAGGCATTACTCCAGGTGTTTCACCCCTGACAACCAGGTCATGACATAAGTTCAGTGACTATCGCTCAGGTGAGCTAAGGTACACCAAAAATAAATTCTGTAAAAATGAATACAAATACCTCAAAGTTAATTTCTTTATGAAGTTCAAAGAGGATTTGCTGAAGAACAAAATACATATAAAGGTTTTGACACTCCGATGTCAGGTCTAACCAAATATCACATTACGCTTCCACACAAACAATCTCAACCATTCATATGCCACAAAGATGATGTCTGAAACATCCAACCAAATAAACTATACAAAATCAACAAAATGATGTTGAACAACTGTTGAATAAAACTGTAGTCACTTGTCATATACTATACAGTTCCACTGTACAACCATTTTGAATTACTCATTGTCAGCAGCAGTACATCTGTCCCTGATGAAAGTAAGATGATGGTTTATTTCAAGTTCTATCTATCTTAAACAACATTCTTAGCTTTGCATGCTGCTCTATACTAAACCACTTATCCCCACATCAACACAACAAATATATACAAAACTATAGTCCTCTGATTAGGTGCACCCGTATATGGTGAGTGGAGCTTCCGTTTGTACTGCCACAAAGTCTACATACACCAATATGTCGCTCATACTGGAAGATGTATTATTTGAGCTTCTTGAGGCGACGCAGCTGTATATAGGACAGAAATAGAAAGCCGAGGGAGAGAGCTGCCAGTGCCACCTGGGGTACCCACAAGTCCCATGTCGTCTCGTAGGCAATACCTTGCTGGCTGAGATACTCATCCCCTGTTGTGCTGTGGGAACATACACATCCATTGGCATACAACTGACAAACATACATATTACCAGGTAAACAGGATGCCCACTACAGTTTAAAGAAATGGTTTTGATGTGAGAAGGCCTGTTTCTACTGTGATCGGACTGGTTTCAGTGAGTGTACATGAGCCAGACAATTTTTCGGTACCACTCAGAGGGACCAAACACTTTGATGTTTTTTGAACTTGTTATGGCCTCTAGACATAAAAAAATGTATGCTGGCCATGTCGGTTTGATAGCTCATATTCAGGACGAGTGAGAGCACCTACAAGTTCCTTAAATTGGTTAGTGATAGTCACTGTTCTGCATCAAAGGTATCAAACAACACAACTTGATATTAATTAAATATTTTTAATCATGTTACCACCATTTTACATCCCTTTTTTCATGTCCAACCTATTTGTTGATCTTTACTCATGATAAAAGCTTGGAATTGACATTTTTGGGGTTTTGGGCGTCCATCTTGGATTTAGCCTCGTCCTGACTCTGAGCTAGGTCTCTTTGAGTGGTACCAAATGTCAAATTTCGGCTCCTGGCCCATGGTCTACTGGGTGTTACGTCACCCTTGACACACTGGTCACACAGATCCAGCTGATGGGATACGAGATTTATACACACTGCTGATATAAAAGCATCACTGGTTGTTTGAAAAGACATACCTAAGGCCACAACAAATATATTTTCATCACAAATCACTTTACAATACGAGGTGGATGCCGAATGCTTGTGACAAATCAAGCCTCAATTACTTGCTCATTACACTTTAAGCTGGAAGACAGTTTTAGTACACTAACTTAGTTCTACCCAAAGTAATGTTGTATAGATTCGTAAAGTAATATACTCACCAAGTACCATTTGACCCATTGTCACAGAAAACCTCACCAGAGAGCTCATTGATGCTGAGAGCCTGGAACAACCACACACAGAGGTGATCATTCAGTAGGGATTCAAGTACACACAAAGTGACGATCAACTAAACATCATTCATCAGGGAGACAAGCACTCACATGTGACAATCAACTAAACATTGTTCATCATGTAGAGTTTACTCCCCAAAGTTAGACGTCCCAAAAGTCAGACAAATCAATCAGGCGTGACTGTGATTACAACCTAGTCTTACCCACTCATATAATGATCCTGCCCCATACATTAACGAGATGGTTTTCACGTTTGTACAGAAATACTTTGATCAGAATATTAATGTTGACTGGGTTCTCCAAATGTGTTTTCACAATGTTCAATTTTATCATAACAGGATTATAGATTTTGCATACTTGTTTTCACAACGTTCACTTTGATAAAAACAAGATTATGAATTTCGCATGCTTGTTTTCACAACCTTCCCTTTGATCAAAACAAGATTATAGATTTTGCATGCTTGTTTTTACGATGTTCACTTTGATCAAAACATGATTATACATTTGTTTTATGTTGTTGAGTTTCCATTAACCTAAAGGAGTTACTTCCTTCCTAGCATTGTTTTTCAAGCATAAACAATATAAAATATAGAAAGAAGTACAGGGTGTAGGGTTAACATTCAATTATAACTGGCAAATAATAGGAAAACATTATCCACTCTACCAAATTCAACACTATCTACACAAAATCAACCTTCATCCTAAAGGTAAATTTATCACTTGCCAAATTCCTGAAAAAATAGCCCACACTATCTTAATTGCTCAAAATATAATAAACAAAGAACCCCATTAACCAATGCTTTAAAACAGTACCCCAATAATGCTAACTCTTCTGATCTCAACATTCTAACAAACCCCAAATTAATTAAAACAATCACTAAATATCTTATTCATACAAAATGATATCAAACAATCTAGAAACAAAAACAATAATACAATAATTCCACTTTTCACCATTTTAAAAATTGTTATAAATATATATGTTCTTTTAACTTTCACTCATTTTTTAACCTTTTATTATGTTCATCATTATTCACTTAATAATTATGTTTTTAAACATAGGTTGGTTGTAAAGCAACATATTTACAAAAATACAAATTGTTTTGTTTCATGTCAAATAAAGTCATTGTCATTATCCATAATCTCTTCTCTTTGTGTTTGGATTAGTATATTTGGAGTAGTCCATTAATCAACGAAGGCAACAGTGTAGTGAACCTCAGTGCAATCAGCCATAACCTTCGTTGTTTTAAAGCGTCTAACTTTTAGGACGTCTAACTTTTGGGAGGCCACCTCAGGGAGACAAGCACTCGCATGTGACAATCAACTAGACATCATTTTTCAGGGAGACAAGCACTCGCATGTGGTAATCAACTAAACACCATTCATCAGGAAGACAAGCACTCACATGTGACAATCAACTAAACACCATTCATCAGGGAGACAAGCACTCGCATGTGATAATCAACTAAACATCATTCATCAGGGAGACAAGCACTCACATGTGATAATCAACTAAACATCATTCATCAGGGAGACAAGCACTCGCATGAGATAATCAACTAAACACCATTCATCAGGGAGACAAGCACTCACATGTGATAATCAACTAAACATCATTCATCAGGGAGACAAGCACTCGCATGAGATAATCAACTAAACATCATTCATCAGGGAGACAAGCACTCACGTGTGACAATCAACTAAACAACATTCATCAGGAAGACAAGCACTCGCATGAGATAATCAACTAAACATCATTCATCAGGGAGACAAGCACTCGCATGAGATAATCAACTAAACATCATTCATCAGGGAGACAAGCACTCATCAGGAGACATGTGATAATCAACTAAACATCATTCATCAGGGAGACAAGCACTCGCATGTGATAATCAACTAAACATCATTCATCAGGGAGACAAGCACTCGCATGAGATAATCAACTAAACATCATTCATCAGGGAGACAAGCACTCACCCGTGGTAATCAACTAAACATCATTCATCAGGGAGACAAGCACTCGCATGAGATAATCAACTAAACATCATTCATCAGGGAGACAAGCACTCGCATGAGATAATCAACTAAACATCATTCATCAGGGAGACAAGCACTCGCATGAGATAATCAACTAAACATCATTCATCAGGGAGACAAGCACTCGCATGAGATAATCAACTAAACATCATTCATCAGGGAGACAAGCACTCGCATGAGATAATCAACTAAACATCATTCATCAGGAGACAAGCACTCGCATGAGATAATCAACTAAACATCATTCATCAGGAAGACAAGCACTCGCATGAGATAATCAACTAAACATCATTCATCAGGGAGACAAGCACTCGCATGAGATAATCAACTATACATCATTCATCAGGAAGACAAGCACTCGCATGAGATAATCAACTATACATCATTCATCAGGGGGAGACAAGCACTCACCCGTGAGATAATCAACTAAACATCATTCATCAAGGAGACAAGCACTCGCATGTGATAATCAACTAAACATCATTCATCAGGGAGACAAGCACTCGCATGAGATAATCAACTAAACATCATTCATCAGGAGACAAGCACTCGCATGAGATAATCAACTATACATCATTCATCAGGAAGACAAGCACTCGCATGAGATAATCAACTAAACATCATTCATCAGGGAGACAAGCACTCGCATGAGATAATCAACTATACATCATTCATCAGGAGGGAGACAAGCACTCGCATGAGATAATCAACTAAACATCATTCATCAGGAGACAAGCACTCGCATGAGATAATCAACTAAACATCATTCATCAGGGAGACAAGCACTCGCATGAGATAATCAACTAAACATCATTCATCAGGGAGACAAGCACTCGCATGTGATAATCAACTAAACATCATTCATCAGACAAGACAAGCACTCACATGAGATAATCAACTAAACATCATTCATCAGGAGACAAGCACTCGCATGTGATAATCAACTAAACATCATTCATCAGGGAGACAAGCACTCGCATGAGATAATCAACTATACATCATTCATCAGGAAGACAAGCACTCGCATGAGATAATCAACTAAACATCATTCATCAAGGAGACAAGCACTCGCATGAGATAATCAACTAAACATCATTCATCAAGGAGACAAGCACTCGCATGAGATAATCAACTAAACATCATTCATCAGGGAGACAAGCACTCGCATGAGATAATCAACTAAACATCATTCATCAGGAAGACAAGCACTCGCATGAGATAATCAACTATACATCATTCATCAAGGAGACAAGCACTCGCATGAGATAATCAACTAAACATCATTCATCAGGGAGACAAGCACTCGCATGAGATAATCAACTAAACATCATTCATCAGGAGACAAGCACTCGCATGAGATAATCAACTAAACATCATTCATCAGGAGACAAGCACTCGCATGAGACAATCAACTAAACATCATTCATCAAGGAGACAAGCACTCGCATGAGATAATCAACTAAACATCATTCATCAGGGAGACAAGCACTCACATGTGATAATCAACTAAACATCATTCATCAGGGAGACAAGCACTCACATGTGATAATCAACTAAACATCATTCATCAGGGAGACAAGCACTCGCATGTGATAATCAACTAAACATCATTCATCAGGGAGACAAGCACTCGCATGAGATAATCAACTAAACATCATTCATCAGGAGACAAGCACTCGCATGAGATAATCAACTAAACATCATTCATCAGGGGAGACAAGCACTCGCATGAGATAATCAACTAAACATCATTCATCAGGGAGACAAGCACTCGCATGTGATAATCAACTAAACATCATTCATCAGGGAGACAAGCACTCACGTGTGAGATAATCAACTAAACATCATTCATCAGGGAGACAAGCACTCGCATGAGATAATCAACTAAACATCATTCATCAGGGAGACAAGCACTCGCATGAGATAATCAACTAAACATCATTCATCAGGGAGACAAGCACTCGCATGAGATAATCAACTAAACATCATTCAACAGGGAGACAAGCACTCACATGTGATAATCAACTAAACATCATTCATCAGGGAGACAAGCACTCGCATGAGATAATCAACTAAACATCAATGGGCTGTCTCGCACTTCAAAGTATGAAGTGCATCATGGTTAGGTTGAAACACACATGCAGGACTGAGGATACACAACAGCTTCACTACAGGAGTGATTAGCAGCCATGTCAAGATGATGTCTTTTTATGAGGTCCATGTATACATTCAGATCAACACTATGGCTGGATTGTAGCCTGGTTATGTTGGGTCCCTCTGTATAAAGGTATCCACTGGGATCATGAGATGATCAGCGAGAATAGAGACAAACTGGGCATGGACATCAAGGCCTCCTATGCAAGTGCCACAGGAACACAGCAACCATTGTGGCCACAACAGTTGCCAGGGGTCTCCAGGCTGTATGATGAAGACTTGCACAGGAGGAGAGAAAACCTGGACAATATTAAACCTAGTGTTGCAACTGGTTATTATCTCTGCCTCTCAATACCACATGTACCTATTAGGACTTACATCAAGACTGTATCTGAAGATACTGAACCATTTCAGCCATACCAGCCAATCGGCAATGGAGCTCAGGTTCACCAACAGTCCGCTGAACAACTGAAACAAAACACATGCGGTTTATATTTCCAAATACTCTTGGAAAAAACTTAACGTATCACCTTCCTGCCTCGTACTGCTAGACAGGTTTGAACTGTGGACCAAACAAGTTTAGGTGTAAATATGATCCCCAGGTACCCCATTAAAATACCATTTCTCATAAGAGTGAAGAGGGCCACGATGTCTAACATTAACTTTGGGTTTGTTTAGGTTAACTGGCATACGTGTTTCCTGATAAAAAATATTTCAAGGGCATTAATCTATATCTGCAAGTGGTTGCATGTATCTGAAAGGGCTGACACAACATCAGCAAGCAGTAAAGCAAACACATTATTAAGAACAGGTGTAAGGAATACTCCTTTGCCACCTTCATTTTCCATCACTGTGTATAAATGGTTGCTAATCATAAACATCCCTCATTACAGGAAAAACAATTTGATAGACCTTTGACGGTTCTAACACAAATAGAAAGTGTATTAGCAGTCAGTAGTAAGCAGGCGTAGCATGGTTGATGTTGTCATATAGTGTTGGTAACTATGGGGACTCACCATCATAAACACATAGCACAGAGCAAGGAGGAGGTTGGCGATTGCGAAGATGCGTACGCTGGCACTGATGGCAAATGCCAATCCTGAGGCTGCCATTGTTGTTAAAAATAGGTCCAGCATGAAGTAGAAGAAATAGCCAGCTGCACTTCTTAGACCTGCAATGTAGAGAGAGGACCTGTCATAACACCTGTGTATTGGGTGTCCAGGTAGTGACAAAGTAGGGAGAGGACCTGTCATAACACCTGTGTAATGGGTGTCCAGATAGTGACAAAGTAGGGAGAGGACCTGTCATAACACCTGTGTAGTAGGTGTCCAGGTAGTGACAAAGTATGGAGAGGACCTGTCATAACACCTGTGTAATGGGTGTCCAGATAGTGACAAAGTATGGGGAGGACCTGTCATAACACCTGTTTAGTGGGTGTCCAGATAGTGACAAAGTATGGGGAGGACCTGTCATAACACCTCTGTAATGGGTGTCCAGATAGTGACAAAGTATGGGAGAGGACTGTGTAGTGGGTGTCCAGATGTCATAACACCTGTGTACACCTGTGTGGGTGTCCAGATAGTGACAAAGTATGGGGAGGACCTGTCATAACACCTGTGTAGTAGGTGTCCAGATAGTGACAAAGTATGGGGAGGACCTGTCATAACACCTGTGTAGTAGGTGTCCAGGTAATGACAAAGTAGGGAGAGGACCTGTCATAACACCTGTGTAGTGGGTGTCCAGATAGTGACAAAGTATGGGGAGGACCTTTCATAACACCTGTGTAGTGGGTGTCCAGATAGTGACAAAGTATGGGAGGACCTGTCATAACACCTGTGTAGTGGGTGTCCAGATAGTGACAAAGTATGGGGAGGACCTGTCATAACACCTGTGTAGTGGGTGTCCAGGTAGTGACAAAGTATGGGGAGGACCTGTCATAACACCTGTGTAGTGGGTGTCCAGGTAGTGACAAAGTATGGGGAGGACCTGTCATAACACCTGTGGAATGGGTGTCCAGGTAGTGACAAAGTAGGGAGAGGACCTGTCATAACACCTGTGTAGTGGGTGTCCAGGTAGTGACAAAGTATGGAGAGGACCTGTCATAACACCTGTGTAGTGGGTGTCCAGGTAGTGACAAAGTAGGGAGAGGACCTGTCATAACACCTGTGTAGTGGGTGTCCAGGTAGTGACAAAGTATGGGGAGGACCTGTCATAACACCTGTGTAGTGGGTGTCCAGGTAGTGAAAAAGTATGGGGAGGACCTGTCATAACACCTGTGTAGTGGGTGTCAATCACTAAGAAAGAAATATCATCCAATGCAGAGATATTCTAAATAAATCACCCGACTCTTAAGAAGTGTGTTAATTATCTTTAGCAGAAAGCTTGATTATAAATCTCTTTCTCTTGTTTTACAAGTATTTTCACAGAAACAATACAGTTCATTGTCAATAAAGGTTATTTCAAACATTAGAATGAACAGAGCAGAAACACACCCAGGATCTGGGTGAGAAGTACTTACCTATCATCCAGTAGACAATGGCGGTGAAAAATGCTACTGGAACCAGTCTCATGGGAATGATATCACAGAAGACTTTAGCCAGGAAGTAGGCCGACACACGGTAGAAGCCACTCACGTTCTCATGCCTGCAGTGGCAGAGTCATACTATCAAACTTTGGATCTCTCGTTAAGAGGTAAATTAACTGTAATTGGGGGTATATTCTTTAAAAAATATAAAAGGGTGCACAAAATATATGGTGACAACAGTCATCAGAACTATCCTTCATGAATGACTTCACAGCCAGTAGAATTATAATGACTTTTAGCATCATGGCAACAAAATATTTTTCAAGCTTACATGAAAACGGCTCTCTCTTTGATGAAGAGTTCTACTGCGGACAAGTTGCCAAAAATCTGGTTCATGATGATGAAGAAGAATGCGCCGACTCTGGAAGCAAACCAAACTCACCCGGTACACAGACTGGCTTAATACACAAATAGAAAACTCATCCACGACTAAAACGGATATGGACAAATTCTGATATCTTTTTAACAACGATATAAATGAAATAACAGTTTTGTCTCAGTATACTACGATAAATGTGAACAGTAAATACAGAATAATGACGCGGTCAACATATTTATATGGCAGATCTAGTGTTAAACCAAACTTATACTTGGAGGATACTTTTATTAATCAAGTACAAAGTCGTAACCATTTAGGAATTACACTTCAAAGTGATTGTTCATTGAAATACAAATCAACGAAATTCTTAGGAAAGAAAGACTGACCAGAAATACGCTTGATACTTTGTATAGGTCTTTTATCCTGGCTAACTTCGACTACTGTTGTCATATCTGGGACAACTGTACCAACGAACAGTCATTACTACTCTAGAATTTGCATTAGGACGCCCTGAGAACTATTTGTGTGGCAATTCGACAGCATACATTCTTACATCATCTCTCAGTCCATGCAGAGGGACAATACATGCAAGCGAGGGATATAATGGCAGATGAAACAACACAGGCAAAGTCTCCTGACTCACCTGTTCTGTATACCTGCTGATGCAGTGTCATCCACATCAAAGTAAATAGCACCAACAATCAGTGCAAAGATTATCATTACGATCACCTGAAAACACAACAAGAATCATCATCGGATGACAAAACATCACCATCAACCATTTCAGAAACAAAACCTGAACAGTTATAAGCCTGACATCTGTGGAAGTTCCCCAATGAAACATATAAACAGGCACACTTTAGCACTTTATTGACTTCAAGTTGCTGTAAGGACATAAACGAGGAACATAATAAATATTCTCCCTCACATACATAGCCTTATAGAGGTCACAGATCATAGAGGTTAGCCCCTTAGGGGAACCCTGGGAACATAGTCAGGGGGACTTTGGATTTGAAACCAAAACCAGAGAATTCTCGTACGTGTTTGGGTTGTACCTTCCAACAGAGCTGCCCGTTGACATTATCTTATCTATAATTATCTATATTATCCAAGTTCTTAACGCATAGAAAATATACCAAAATATGTAATTCGGCCTTCACCTGCAATATGGAGGTCTGGGGATTGCGGATGATATTTCTTATTGTTCTTCCTGAGACAACCATCAGCTGAAACATGAATTAGTTTTCCTGTTGCTCATTTCAACCATTATTTAGAGTCAGAAAATAAAATCTGCAGGAAGCAAAGCTTAAAATGTGTTAATTTGTGCCGAGCGAATAAGGTTTGTAATCTGTACCTGATTGAAGAAAGACGTGGCATAGGGCACTCGTGGCATCCGAACAACTGTGCCATTCTCATCATTCTTCATGTACTTGTCATAGATCTCCGTGACCTCATCCATCAGTCTGCAATATGATGTATCAGGTAGGTCCATCGAACGTTATTTGCACATACAAGCTGGATTGTTTAAGATGTTTGTTACCCCAGATTATTTGTTCTTCAATCATATGTGAGCGAGTGAATGGTGTGACTGAACTGTGCGCCATGGAACTGTATGTAGCACGAGACTCCAATAACTTGTGTTGTCCAAGTCTTTATGATTGCAAGTCTTTATTTGCACTTAGGAGGCCACAGGCCTATAGTACATGTATACTGACTATGTAGTTATTAGGCAGTAGAGAGTACATTTCTCCTGTGTAAAAAGGCATGGTATAGGGACATTGACAACTTTTCCAGGTGTTGCTTGCTAGAGTAGGTTAACAGAGATATAAATGTATAAATATTGTTATGTTCAAAGTAATATACTTATTTCTTAAATTGTGGTAGGCTGGACAAACACAAAGAAAATGATATTCATCTTCAATTAGGTTCAAGTCACACATTTTACATATTCTATCGACTTTTTTTATTCCAATATATCTACCTGTTTCTATTAACAAATCATAGGAGGAGCAACGAAATTTTGTAAGCGTGATTCTTTATTTCCTTACATTCAAATATGATAGATAGGTTTCATTGTATATAGATTGCTTAAACATTCTGTAATAGAAACATTTATTTGATACATATAATTGGTCAAGCCAAGTCTGGAGATATATATCTTGTAACCTTTGTTTAATGGATATGAGAAAAGTTGGATGCGAGTCTATGCACTGTTCTAGCCATATATTACCGAAACCAGTAGAAAATAGTAAATTTTTGACATCTGTGACCCAATTGCGTTTTCCATTTCTATCGTACAAAATCTTCATATTGTAATATTTTTTGGGTAATCTGTAAGATGGCATATTTAAGATTTTTAACCAATATTTTACTACTTTCATTTTAGATTCAACAAATAATGGAAACCTACCACATTCACCATAAACCATTATGTTTGAAGTAGTAACTTTAACCCCAAGGAATTTTTTTATTGCATATAAATGTACTTATCTTAGCATCAACGATTCTAAAATATGATTTGTGTGACAAGTCACCTAGAATATAAATATATATAATAATACCAATTAGTATTTTCTTTGCTTGCATCGATGCATTTCTGACATGTAAAGACCACGATAGGTGGTTTGTAAAGTAAACTCCTAAGTATTTGTAAGACATAGTTGATTCTATCATTTCACCTTGATAATGCCATTTCTCTTTTGCAGCAAGTTTACCTCCATTCTTGAACACAACTATTTTAGTTTTATCTCTATTTACGGTTAGTTTCCATTCATGACAGCATGTTTCTAATTTATTTATTTCTGCTTGTAATCTGCGAATAGTGCTAGAGAAAAGTATGATATCATCAGCAAATAATAGAAGAAATAGCTGTACTATATCTGGATGTAGCTGAATACCATTTGATCAGTTTTCATGAATATGTACATGTATTGCTAGTTCATTGATAAAGAAAGAAAATAGAAATGGACTCAAGATACAACCTTGTCTTACTCCTATTTGGCTCTCAAAGGTTTCAGATATTTCATTATTGTTTCTCACACACATCTTTACGTTATCATAAATACTTCTTAAAAGTTTACTCATTTTACTGCTTAAGGAATGATTGTCTAGAAGATTCCATAACCTTTCTCTTTGAACAGAGTCGAAAGCCTTTGCAAAATCTACAAAGAGAACATAGAATTTGGTACCTTTCTTATTTAAATATTTCTGTATAAGTGAATGTAAAACAAATATGTTGTCAGTAGTAATATATCCTTTTCTAAAGCCAGCTTGGGATTCGCTTATCTTATCAAAGGATTCTGCCCAGAATATTAGACGTTTATTTATGATGGCAGTGAATATTTTACGAAAGACACTTAGAAGAGTAATCCCTCTATAGTTTTCAGTTTGATTTGTATCACCATGCTTATGAATAGGTACAATGATACCAATCGACCATGAATGTGGAAGAAAAAAACCATTTTCAAGAATGACATTAAACAATAATTCAAGATATGGGAGTAGAATATCTGATGAGTGTAAGAAAAATTCGGAGATAGTATCATCTATTCCTGGTGATTTGTTCAGCTTCAATTGTCTAATACTATTTATGATTTCTTCTCGAGTTTTTGGAGCGTCAAGTATGTCATTTGTCATTGAGTTATTTATATCACATCTTTGACAATTATTTTTATCGCCCTGACTGGCTGTATAGTTATTCATGGCATCATTAATTTCAGATGAAGAAAACAATTCTAAAATAGGAATACCATTCATTGATCTCAATGTCATTTGTTTGTCTTGCTTCCCCATTCATTTTTTTCAGCGAAGACCAAAACTGTTTAGAATTGTTAACACTATTTTCTAATTGTTGTTGTTTCAGTTTCAAATAGTCACTTCGTTTTTTGTTTACAAACTGCATTGTACGTATTTCTAATGCAATGTTAATCCTCTAGAGCTCGAACATCCTTCGATTTACGAAACCTATTTAAATATTTGCATCTTTCTTTTTTCAGTTTATCACACTCTGCATCATGCCAAGTTTGAGCTCTGTTTCCTCTCTTACCAGTTCGTTTTTTCATATCTGAGGCAGCTGTGCAAAGTGCTTGTACAATAAAGTCTATGCTCCTATCAACGTTTATAAATAAGAAATGTGCTGACTGGCTTAGTAACTCTTGAATACTTTATGAGAACATATTTTGTCTAAAGAGCTCAAGTTTATCATTATGCCAAACAAATCTATATGACTGTTTCTCAGTTGTTGTATGATATGTGTGAAGTGCACGTAACTTCATAGTAAGAGGACGATGGTCGGATTCTGTGCGGGAAGGGATTGCAAAGTCAAGCACACTATCAAAAATTGATGTTGAACTTAATATATAATCTACTACACTTGTTCCGTTATGACCAATAAACGTAGGGTCGCCTATTTCTGAGTGGGATCCACATCGTCCATTCATTATATGAATGTTGAGAACTGAGCATAAATCTAACAAGCCCTTGCCATACGCATTTACAATTTTGTCAGATGAAAATCTTTTTATGCTAAAATAATCTAATAAGAAATCCCACATTGAGTGGTCTTGCCCTTCTGAATGTTTGATGATATCATCCTCGATGAAATAGGGCTCTGTACTTGTTTTGTCACTGTTGCTATTCAGCTACCTTTGTGTTTTATGCTGCCTGTCATGCACTGCACTCGAGACCAGCATCCACTGCCATTACGACATAAGGCATTACTACTCTATCCACTTGTCCTGCCTATCACAATAAGGATGGGTTCGGGTGGGCACCAACTCCATTTCTGCATCTCGATTCTTACCACGTGACCCACAACAGACATACTGCAGAGCCTGGCTGACATTATTGTGGACAAAGATGTCTTGTAACAAATGTTATGTTTGGGATAATACTTGTGTGCTGGTGATCAGGTGCTTGACTCTCTGAGGGTGTGGGTTCAAATCCTGGATGGGACTCAAGCCAATAAAAGTACTAGAATCTGTACTGAGAAAGTGTAATCCCAAATATAACATTTGTTACATCTGGCCACTTTCTAAATGGCATTGTGTATTCAGAGATGTCTTGGTTTTCAATCATTGACTTTCTCTGGGGTTATGGCAAACACCACATCTATGATTTTTAAACCCTTATAGCTATTGATAGCCCCAAGCTTAATATGATGCTTATATAATAATACAGTTCATCACGAACATCTGAGACAGGGTTGGTGTACCACATTTCGATGACCATCCTCCGAACACAAGGCCAGTCTTCATGGACGATAACGCTAGGCCACATTGTGTGGATGCCATTGGTGATTCCTTACATCAAGAGGTGTTAGCAACTCTACACTGGCCTGCCTTTAGTCCAGAACTCCAGTCTGAGAAAGGCATCCAATCCCATAAAGCATTTTTGGGATATTATGGGTTGCAGAATACGACATCCTCTGATACGGAATCTTGGAACAATCCCTTCATCAAAAATGAACCGGAATACCTCAAGACCTCACAGAGTTCAGAGAGGAGGGTGAGAGATGTTATTGCAGTTGGCAGAGGTTACACCAGACATTGAAATTTTGCTCGGTTGTTGATACTTATGTAATTTCCGATGAGGATTTCATGACAGAATATTGAGAATGATTGCCCTGTGTTAACGTCATGCAACCATAGTTATCAGCACTATAAAACGAGTTAATTGTTTGTCATGTTTGCTTCTAGGAATAAACTATGCCCAGTCATTATTTTAGCATTTAGATTTACCATTTAATTATTCCTTGAAGCTCAGTTTATAGAGATAGTAAGTTGAATTGATGATTCAATAAGTTCCTTTGCTATGGTTTATGGTAAACTATTGATACTATAAAACGATGCGTTTTTTCATGTGTATATATCTTACATGCTGATATTGGATACTGTATAGGATAACCAACTAAACCTTTGAATAAAACCTTCTTCATTATCTCTTATATGACCATGTGTTTCTTAAATAGTTCAAACGTTATTCCGTTGGTGCAATATGCTTACTTGTCGTGCAACTGTGACTGTCTGAAACTCTGTACGAGACTTTCTTGAAGATTGCTGTTTTCTGAAAAATGTAAGTTTTATGATAAAATTGATATTTTGTACTTATCCTGACTCATACGTATTGCTTATCTCCCTTTCCTTCCGAAGGTTGAGTGGAAACCCCTTTCCTTATATTCCCAAGAACAGTCAAAACTTTACTCACCCCTATAGGGCCCCTTGCCTCCTTCCCGCCACTGCGTCCCACGTGGCCACATTGTCACTCTCTCCGAATTAAGCCCCCACTAGCTTACAGGGAAGCCAGATAGTGATGAGAGGGGACGTTTGGGAGGGCCCTCAGCGTATGAGTGAGTGAGTGAGTTTAGTTTTACGCCGCACTCAGGAATATTCCAGCTATATGGCGGCGGTCTGTAAATAATCGAGTCTGGACCAGACAATCCAGTGATCAACAGCATGAGCATCGATCTGCGCAATTGGGAACCAATGACATGTGTCAACCAAGTCAGCGAGCCTGACCACCCGATCCCGTTAGTCGCCTCTTACAACAAGCATAGTCGCTTTTTGTGGCAAGCATGGGATGCTGAAGACCTATTCTACCCCGGATCTTCACGGGTATTCTCAGCATATGAGTCAAGATAAGTACAAAATATCAATTTTATCCAAAAAAAATCATATTTTTCCTTATCCAGACTCATACTTATTGCTTGAATCCGACAGACGGGTGGTAGGTCAACCACCCATCAGGATTCCCCATGACTATTCGATCAAGTCCTGGTCTGATGATATATACCTGGGAACTCTTCTATGTTCTTCTAATTCTGCGACTGGTTGAGCGGGGGACCACCTTCTCATGCCGAAGTAAAAGAAGCAAATCTTACAAGTTAGTGGACTTCAAAGACACACTGAGAATTCTATATTCTAGTTGTCTTAAACGATCCATATATTAAGAAAGGGGCTACTTTCGAAACTGAATATCATCACTCATGCGCTGACTTATCTTGTAAGACAGGGGAGCCTGGACTCTCGGTCGGTGGTTATGGGACAGTAAACTGACGTCACAAGTCTACGTGATAAGGGTGAGTTTTAATCCTTTCTATCGTCTGGTCGGAACTGTCAATTGTTGTGCCACTATGAGCGGTCCGAAATGGTGGATACCAGATACATCTTCCGTGGCAATATCTCTGAGATAATGGTTGGCGAAGACAGTCCCTGATCTCCAAAAGCAGCCTTCCATGATGGATGATAGGGAGCAGTTGCCATGTAGAGCTAAGGTCGATGCTAGTGTCTAGCTCTAGGCGGATCCAATCCTGCTGCTTTATATGCTTGTAATATGACTGCTCTTATCCAAAAGGAGATCGTAGTTCTGGAGACTTCCGTAGATGTTGCAGTAGACAACGGAATGAATTCCTTCGTCTAGTGGCAGTTCGTTTCAAATTGAGTTTTACTCCTGAGTTCATAGTGAGAACCGAACTAATAGCCACTAGGTAAGTTGAGAGAGAGTAGATCTAGTGTCTACTGTCTAGTAGCTCTCACAAGGCATAACTATTCCGCAACTTGAGGGTGTGAAGCTTTCATGGCTGAGAATCCTTTGCTAGTAGCAAACCGGTCAAAACTCTTCTGGTGGTGGAAACGCGTAAGCGTCTAGACCTTCCCATGGAATGGCTTGTGCATCTAGGGACCATGCTAGTGGGTCCGGAATCCGCGAGACGAATGTCGTTATTTGCCGATTGAATCGAGCTGCAAATAGATCTAAGAGCGGACATCCATGATTTCATGTTAACAGTAGAAATGCTTCCGGATGTAGCATCCATTCCGTGGGAGACTGTGTGATTGGTCGGGATAACACGTCGGCTATGACATTGGTTGCTCCTAGGATGTGACGAGCCTTTATCCGCAGGTTCAGCCTCTCCGCTACATTGAATAGACGGAATGTCAAATTCAACAGTGGAGTCGACTTCGTAGTGCCTTGTAGATTTATGTGAAAGGCGACTGCCGCGTTGTCCGTACGCGTGTTTATCATGTGGAATTGATTTCTGAAGAGATGCGATCAGTGTTGTATGGTGTTTATGAACGCTTTGAATTCGAGCAGGTTTATCTGTAAATTCTTTTCTTCCGAAGACCAAATTTCTGACGCACCTTCTGTGTTGAAGTGAAGTATGGAGAGAGGCATCTACGTAAAGATGTAGAGTGTACGCCGGCTCTTGTAAAAAGGTTCCTATGCAAACATTCAATTTGTCCGCCCACCATATCAGGTAAGGTTTGAGATTTTGAAATTCGGACGATCGAGATACGGTTTGAGGAAATGTTGGATTGGTCTCAGTTGCAGTCGTCCACTGCCTTAGTGCTTGCGTTGATGTGAGAAGTCCTAAGATTTCCTGCCAAGTTCTTATTGACAGCATGTGGGAGACATGCTTGAATTTTGGTCCAACGATCCTCCGGGACAATTCTCTGCAGTGAGGAATCTGATTCCGAGAAACTTGTAGTGTCGATCAAGTGTAGAGTCGAGTTCCGCCGGTTTCATAAGATTGACTAATCAACCCAGCTGGGTTAATAGTTGTATGGTGAAGTTCAACTGAAGTTTGAGTTGATCTGCTTGTTGATGAGCCTGTATACTGTCGCCTAGTTAAAAGGCACTGCGTATTCCCTTGCGATGTAGATAAGCCACTATGGGCTTGGTTACACGAATAAATAGCCACAGGCCGAAGAAATTCCAAAGGGGAGTACCTTCCATTGGTAGTGTCACCCTTGAAATGCTTCAAGCAATGTTGATTGTTGACATTCCGGGTTATGAAATACCAGCAAAAACCTGCTCAAGGGGGACATGGCTTTCAGTTGAATGTGGTTGCCTTCGCTAAGTACTTGAGTTACATAGTCGTCCTTTAATATTTCCCAATTTTTCCAGTAATGTCCGAGACGTCCACCCACTGTTGAATGTTCTATGGGAATGACTGGGGATGGAAGCGACCAGTCATTCCAAACTGTTCCTTCATCCTCGCGAGCAAGAACCGCCGGAGAAACAGCCTCTGGCAGAACGGCATCTGTTGTCGTTTGAGCGACGAAAAGATGGTATGGAAGTCTGAGGATACATGAATTTCATGTCCTTAGCGTGTTGAATTCCCGTGAAGTGGGATCGAAACTGCATACGCTGTGCTGATTGTTTGAACATGGTATTCATTGTTTGGACTGATTTTATGAGTATTTGATCCTTTGAGTAATGTGAAACTTCCCTAGAGACTCCCAAATAGCTCCATCAAAAATGGTGGGAGTAGCCCATGGTTTGCAAAGAAGAGGCTTCGTATACATATCCGTCCATTGACAAGATGCAAGTAGACCATGATGACGTAATAAGGTGAGTCCAGCCGATGTAGAACCCAAATGGTCAGAGATAAATTCCTGATCTCTCTTCTGAGCCGATATAGCTGATAATAATATATGTTCTCTATCCGTCTGTGGGTATTGTAAGGCATTGAGCATTGCTTTGTTTACAGCTCGAAATCGCGCTAATCCAAAGAAAGCTCGACGAGTTGTCATATTCAATTGTGTCAATTTCTTGTCCGCGACTCTGTGGGAGAGAGACTTTGAGTCACTCATTAAGGAGCAGTCTTCATCAAGTTCAGGTGCTCTGAGAAAGGCATCCATGTTGTGAAGAGGGACATTTTGAGAATTAAAAGGAGGCGCATGTTCACCTTGAGATTTCATTGCCTTCTCGAATGCTGCGCTTAGCGTATCTGCTACCTCTAAACAGGTATGACGGGTGGAATTGTAACAATATCCTCCTGGATAAGATATGTGTCTGCTGGCGATGAATTTCGCGTAGGAGACGTGATAGCTAAGCCATCCGCAATCCAGGCTAATAATTCAGAGTCTGTATATATAGACGAATAAGGATCATCCTGTGTACTATCCTCCGATATCTGAGTTTCCACCCAAATAGTATCGTCAGTAATAGATGGATTCGATGTAGATTGATGAATAGGTCGATCCAAATCCCGAGTAGAATGTTGCTGTTGCATAGCCAACACAACCTGTCGAGTGACGTTAGCGACAAAGTCCGGCTGAGCCAGAGCGAAAGGCAATGATATTGGATATGGATATGTGAACGGGTTCCCGAAGCCTGGTAGAGGCGGTTCGCGAACGTCGGAGGATATCTGTGTATGTTCGGGAACGATGTAGCCGTATTTCTAGCTGGGTTGACCGAAGTTTGAGCAGCTGGAAACATCCTAGTAGAGGATATAGTTGGTGGGTTCACAACCGTAGTTTGTGGAGGCTTCATCAATGAAGGAGGAGCATGTGAGTGACGTGAGTTTGTGAACCCCGACGTCTGCAAAGGTCCTACGTAGGTGGAAGGTAGGGAACCTGGGTTCCCGAACGTCGACAGTGTAGTTTGCACTTGTTGTTGCGTAGGGTTCGGGTGCGTTGACTTTGATGATTTTGAGGACGATTTCTTCTTCAATTTTGCCAGCTTTTTCAAATCAGACCCCGTCTCAGGAGTTTTCCTCTTTAGACGGGGCTGCGATACTACTTCCTTGTGAGAGGCAGAAACTGGTAAATCCACTGTGAGGAATTCCAGTGGTGAATGTGAAGTATTAACTAAGGGATATATCTCATCCCCACATGACAATAACGGGGTTAACTCACGTTCTACAGGCTGCGTCTTACCCTTGTCTGCCACCGCTTTAGCGTTATCAAGCTTCTTCTTGTCCATCTTTTTACGTAAACAAGACAAAGGATATTTATTGAATAAATAATCTGACAATTGTGCACAATGTATACATCGTGAAATAGTGGTACACGACGTAGTAGTACAAGAAGGGCACACAGGGTGTTGATCAGACGCAGACAGCTGGTATCTGCATTGTTGACAAGATCGCATGTGTCACAGCATGTCTGCAAACAACAACAAAGTGAGAAACCCCAGAAATTAGCAACGTAAATTCATTACAAATACATGGTTGTGATTGCTAAAGGATATGAAAAACCATTTACAACAAACAAATTGAGATTTGGGCCTAACTTAATAGAGAACAAGGCTATAAAAGGGACCCGAGGTGCCAGCCCAACCGTCTAAGTGGGCGATTGAGGAGAGAGTGACAATGTGGCCGCAGTCGCGTGGGACGCAGTGGCGGGAAGGAGGCAAGGGGCCCTAAAGGGATGAGTAAAGTTTTGACTGTTCTTGGGAACATTAGGACAGCGGTTTCCACTCGACCTTCGGAGGGAAAGTGGGATAAGCAATAAGTATGAGTCTGGATAAGGAGAAATTGTAATTTTATATGAAATTTAAGAATACAGAGAGTTATCCCTCCTTAAAAAGGGGTTAAACCATGTATCATTTGTCATTTATCATTTGTCAGCTCTTAATGATGCAACAAGTGAAAATAACGGAGGTATGGGACTGTACTAGAGAAATAGTCAAACGACAAGGAAAAGGGGAGACAACTCTGTAGCAACTGATCCACAATTGCGAATGAGACAATAGTTTCTTCTCAGTTTTGATAAGCTGGTGTGTGTGTGTGTGTGTGTGTGTTTTGTGCGTGTATATGTGTGTGCGTGCGTGTGTGGGTGGGTGCGCGTGCGTGAGTGCGTGCGTGCGTGGGTGGGTGCATAATATAGATGATTGTGCAGTGGTGGACACTTAGGTATGTTGGACTGACTGACAAGTAATATCAGTTACAATACATTTTAAGGATAAAAGGTTAATTTACCATAGTCACATTTATCCACAGAGTCATTGCTCAATATTTCTACAGGGACTCGCAAAATAAGTTTGATGAAAATTACATTAACAAGTGCATTCACCAGGCTGTAGAAAAATACAATAATAAAAATAACCAAAACCCCCACTATTACAAAGTCTCTGTGTCAGTTATGGTTATGTATGTCCTTCAAGTCATTGCAGGAGAAGTCTTCAAGTCCAGTTTCAGCAAACATGAGTAGAAGTTCTGCATGATATTATTTATCAATAAAACAAAGGAATACCAGGGCTCTAGATAAGCATACAGCCAAATGGGCATTTTACCCATGGTTTCCGAGTTGATGAAGCATTTCCAATTTCAACTGGGTATCAGTATTTTCATTCTGGATATTTATGTAGTTCTGATTACTGCCAGATTGTTGCCAGCACACATTCAAAGCGTAAAAGTAGTAATTAATGCATATATTATACACAGACATTTGTAAAAATCTGCTTTTTTTTCTTTCCTATTTTACACAAATACCCAGTTTATCTGGATTACAGCAGTTAAATTTGAATTAAAATGGTTACATTCAGGTCGCAAGTCTTCGGAACCCCATTTTGAAACACACGGCCAAACAGTGGGTGGCTTGTGTCCACTGGATTTCCTTGCATTCACATTCAGTCATTTGAGTAACAAGAAAAACACTCAACTCCATCATCAATGATGTAATGTATGAAGTAGGCTGGCCCTGTTGTTGTAGAGAGTTACATCCCTTGGTCATATCGATCCAACAATTTGGGGTTTCTATCCCATTTTCTTCGCTTGCCAGTGCCATGCTTTAACCAGTGAGTTTCAATTGCGTTTTAATGTCTACAATCTGCTCTTTCCACTTCCCCCCTCCCCCACTTTAGACCGTTATGACTTCATAAAACTCAAATACACAGCATTTTGAAGTCTTCACCTATTCACTCTCACAATGCTTTATGTCTTACAATCGTGACCAATATCTTTTGTAATAAATGAGTCCACAAACCATTTTCTTTCTCGTCTGGGGCCTCAAAGTTATCAACGGTGTTGTAGTCGCCATTGATGACGTCCAGGAAGAAGTCCGGAGGGTTGTTGTGTTCCTCACAGATGTAACCTGGATCAAAGAAATCTACATTCGTAGAGTCAGCTTTCTGACTCCATGACATTCCTAAATTGGAAAATATTTTCTCCATGATCTATGGAAATAAAGCATTTGGCACGCGTGAACTGGTGTACACATGTACGTAGCTCAGAACACATGTACGTAGGATGTTGGATATGAATCACGCCATGGGTGACAGGAAGCTGAGACATACCGATTGACTTGAAGTACTGGAGAGCATCAGGTGCTGCTCCATGGTAGACGACCTCACCCCCCGACAGCAGCATCAGGTTGTCAAACACTTTGAATATAGAGAAACGAGGCTGGTGGATGGAGAACACGATGGTACGACCCTTCAAGGCCAGTCTGAAGTAAAACAAACAAACCTCAAGTCTAAGGGAAAGATGACCATTCTATAGGGACTTATATTATTAATGTACACTTTCTGTAGTTCTAGTATACAAAGAGTATTTTTAATATCAATACTGTCTCATCAAACATTTAGCCATTTTGTTTTGGTCTATTTGAGAAAAAAATCAAACTTATTTAAGTCAAATCCCATAAAAAATGGGAGACTGCATGCATCTATCTAGTCTGTGTCACCTCAGCTCCATCTCACCTTCTAAGCAAGTACATGACTGCATTAGCCGTGCTGGCATCCAGGCCTGTGGTTGGTTCGTCCAGGAACAGCACGGGAGGGGAGATAATCAGCTCCATACCGATGTTTGTTCGCTTTCTCTCACCACCAGACACACCACGAATAAACTCATTACCAACCTAGATCAATCATAATGTAATATCATTAATAACCAGATATATATTCACATAAACTCATAACCAGCCCATATAAATATTCATATAATCTCATTAATAAGCAGCTACATACTCCCATAAACAGCCCATATAAATATTCACATCATCTTAGTACTCTCCAGCTTTATATTCACATAAACTATAACCAGCCTTTGTAATATTCACATAATCTTATTAACAACACAATGATGATATGTGAATACTTAATACCCAGATTCAACAACACACTATGATAAAATGTGAAAGTGTTCTATGCCCAGATTCAACAAGACACTATGATGAAATGTGAAAGTGTTCTATGCCCAGATTCAACAAGACACTATGATGAAATGTGAAAGTGTTCAATACCCAGATTCAACAACACACTATGATGAAAGTGAAAGTGTTCAATGCCCAACTTCAACAAGACACTATGATGAAAAGTGAAAGTGTTCAATGCCCAGATTCAACAAGACACTATGATGAAAAGTGAAAGTGTTCAATGCCCAGATTCAACAAGACACTATGATGAAATGTGAAAGTGTTCTATGCCCAGATTCAACAAGACACTGTGATGAAAAGTGAAAGTGTTCAATGCCCAGATTCAACAAGACACTATGATGAAATGTGAAAGTGTTCAATGCCCAGATTCAACAACACACTATGATGAAAAGTGAAAGTGTTCAATGCCCAGATTCAACAAGACACTATGATGAAAAGTGAAAGTGTTCAATGCCCAGATTCAACAAGACACTATGATGAATTGTGAAAGTGTTCAATGCCCAGATTCAACAAGACAATATGATGAAATGTGAAAGTGTTCAATGCCCAGATTCAACAAGACACTATGATGAAATGTGAAAGTGTTCTATGCCCAGATTCAACAAGACACTATGATGAAATGTGAAAATGTTCTATGCCCAGATTCAACAACACACGGATGGACATTGAAATGGCTGTAGAGTTGGGCTAAGCTACAAACAATGGTGTTAATCTCACCCTGGTGTCAGCACACTGAGTCAGCCCAAGTTCATCTATCACAGCATTCACACGGGCATCTCTCTCCATCTTTGTGGTATCCGAGGGTAACCGTAAAGCTGCAGAGAACTGGAAATTCTCTCTCACTGTCAGAGTTCCCATGACGACATCATCCTAAATTTGAATTGTAAAGCTAAGTAAGATAGCATGATCTGTATACACAGCAATACTTGATTACAGGTGATTTTAGCACAGATTTGCTGCAAGTCCTTATTTATGATGTTCTTCATACCTAAGAAAAGGACCAGATATAAATTAATGCCCCAACACTGAGACACCAGAATATACTACCAGTGCCTACATACAGCATAATGTGTAAATTCTCATTATTTTGTTTGTCAAAATAGAACATTTTCATTGAAACTTGCACTTGTCACTAACTGTCATAGTAGGTTATATACGGAGGTATTCCCTGACTCTTGTACTGACATGCTTCATAAGCCGTCACAGTAGGTTATATAGGGAGGTATTCCCTGACTCTTGTACTAACATGCTTCATAAGCCGTCACAGTAGGTAAGATGGGGAGGTATTCCCTGACCCTTGTACTGACATGCTTCATAAGCCGTCACAGTAGGTTATACAGGGAGGTATTCCCTGACCCTTGTACTGACATGCTTCATAAGCCGTCATAGTGAGTGAGTGAATTTAGTTTTACGCCGCTTTTAGCAATATTCCAGCAACATCACGGCGGGGGACACCAGAAATGGGCTTCACACATTGTGCCCATGTGGGGATTCGAACCCGGGTCTTCGGCGTGACGAGCATGCGCTTTATCCATTAGGCTACCCCACCGCCCCTCGTCATAGTAGGTTATATAGGGAGGTATTCCCTGACTCTTGTACTGACATGCGTCACAAGTCATCATAGTAGGTTATATAGGGAGGTATTCCCTGACCCTTGTACTGACATGCTTCATAAGCCGCCATGGTAGGTTATATAGGGAGGTATTCCCTGACTCTTGTACTGACATGCTTCATAAGCCGTCACAGTAGGTTAGATGGGGAGGTATACTCTGACCCTTGTACTGACATGCTTCATAAGCCGTCACAGTAGGTTATATAGGGAGGTATTCCCTGACCCTTGTACTGACATGCTTCATAAGCCGTCATGGTAGGTTATTTAGGGAGGTATTCTCTGACTCTTGTACTGACATGCTTCATAAGCCGTCACAGTAGGTTAGATGGGGAGGTATTCCCTGACCCTTGTACTGACATGCTTCATAAGCCGTCACAGTAGGTTATATAGGAAGGTATTCCCTGACTCTTGTACTGACATGCTTCATAAGCCGTCACAGTAGGTTATATAGGGAGGTATTCCCTGACCCTTGTACTGACATGCTTCATAAGCCGTCACAGCAGGTTATAAAGGGAGGTATTCCCTGACGCTTGAAGTGGCATGAGTTATAAGCCGTCATAGTTGGTAATATAGGGAGGTATTCCCTGACCCTTCTACTGACATGCTTAATAAGCCGTCACAGTAGGTTATATAGGGAGGTAGTCCCTGACCCTGGTACTGACATGCTTCAAAAGTCGTCATAGTAGGCTATATAGGGAGGTATTCCCTGACTCTTGTTCTGACATGCTTCACAAGTCATCATAGTAGGTTATATAGGGAGGAATTCCCTGACCCTTGTACTGACATGCTTCATAAGCCGTCATAGTAGGTTAGATAGGGAGGTATTCCCTGACCCTTGTAGTGGTATGCTTGACAGCCGTCACAGTAGGTTAGATAGGGAGGTATTCCCTGACCCTTGTAGTGGCATGCTTGACAGCCGTCACAGTAGGTTAGATAGGGAGGTATTCCCTGACCCTTGTAGTGGCATGCTTGACAGCCGTCACAGTAGGTTAGATAGGGAGGTATTCCCTGACCCTTGTAGTGGCATGCTTGACAGCCGTCACAGTAGGTTAGACAGGGAGGTATTCCCTGACCCTTGTAGTGGCATGCTTGACAGCCGTCACAGTAGGTTAGATAGGGAGGTATTCCCTGACCCTTGTAGTGGCATGCTTGACAGCCGTCACAGTAGGTTAGATAGGGAGGTATTCCTTGACCCTTGTAGTGGCATGCTTGACAGCCGTCACAGTAGGTTAGATAGGGAGGTATTCCCTAACCCTTGTACTGACATGCTTCACAAGTCGTCATAGTAGGTTATATAGGGAGGTATTCCCTGACCCTTGTAGTGGCATGCTTGACAGCCGTCACAGTAGGTTAGATAAGGAAGTACTTTCATGTGGCTGTCATAATTGGCCAAATAGGGTGGTGTTCAATGAACTGTATACTTCCATGTGCGGGTGTGTTTGGGTGGGTGGGTTAAATGTCCAAAGGTTGGTGGAAATGCTCCTCAGGGAAAATTTTGTGGGGAGAGAGGTGTGTGTGTGTGTTTGTCATAATAAGCACGACAGGAATGTTTTTCCATGAACCTTGTACCCGCATGTTATACAAGACATTTCATTTGCCAAGATATAGAGGCATCTTAGAGATAGCTTGGTGGATATCAGCCCAATCATAGCTGGTCCCCTTTAAAACCTTGGTGTAAGAAATATATGTTTACCTCCAGCATTTGGGGGAAGATAAGAACATTTTTTTTTGACGTAGTGGTAAGAGCTATTAATAGTTCATACATCAATATCAAGAGCTACAACAAATTGACACATGCCAGTGTTTCCTATCACGTACCCACCCCCCAGAGTACATACCTGTACAACATATCCCACCATGCATTTGAAGTTGCCAGGGGGCGGGGCACCATCCAATAGCAAGTTACCTCTCAGGCCAACCGGGTCTTTCCTGCCGGCCAGCACATCCAGCAGTCTGAAACAAACACATCTACCTGTTGCCCACATGTCATCTAGCAAGTTCCCTTATCAATGTGTATATCCGACATTTCTGTCATTACATGCACACACAATCCAAAATTACAGTAATCCATCATGGATTATACAAAATGGAGAGTTAGTTACTTCAGCGCAGGCATGCATATAGCGTCCAGCAGCCTCCTTTACAGAGGTTTCAGCAGGATATTAATGTCTATATATAACATACCTAAGGAGAGAAATGAAACACATGTTAAAGTATATAAGTTATTTTGGTGAAATGGTCTGCTTCCACTCTCTGCTGCACACACAAGTATTGAATAGGTTACAAAGTTGGCCCTAATGTAACATTCCGGAGACTTATTATATCACTTCTTCAACATAAATGTTCTGAAATGGCCAGGGCTTGTAAAATGATGGATAATCAGAAATATCATGAAAATTGTGTTATCGATAATGTCGTACATTAACGTTTGTGACAGAAAAAAGATTAATTTTCTCACTGTCACACAATATGCAGTTTAAGGACTTTATTTATGGTATGCTTCTAAATTATGTACAGGATGCTATTTTGTAAATAATCCAAGTAAATACATGTCACCACTCACCAGTGATGCGAACATATTCGTTTCTTTCAGACACTTTTGGCATTTTTGCTCAGAGTTACGTCTCTGATATTTCTAGATAATCAATCGATATGTAGTTGCTGTTTATCGATCTCTGTGATCTAGACTGATGGTCAGCTCTAGAAATGACAATCTAATTGGCTACAGTCTAGTCATCCTACATGGTGTGATACTAATTAAAAACCTGCTGAATAAACATTAATTAAGACCTGACACGAGCACTCACGATGACTTCCCACTTCCAGTTGGTCCAAGGATAGCATTCATGCCTGGCTTGAAGATGCCACTGAAAGAGTGAGTGAGTGAGTGAGTGAATGTGTGAATGGGTGTGGGTGTGATGATGATTTTAACTGGAGAGGGGGTCACGCATATTGTTCTGGGGAGGGGGTCATGAATTTTGTACATAATACATATTTTTAAAAATAATGCTTAAAAATTATGGGAAGGGGGAGGATAATTGCTTTTGTACATGACAAGCAGGAGAAGGGGGGGGGGGGTGTCACTTACTTTGTACAGAAATTTTAGGGGGATCATTCACATTGTACATGCTTCTCAATAAAAATCATCATCAGCCCCCCTAGCCATAAATTATGAACGGTTTCTCATAACCAATGTTAACAACACAAACAAAGTTGCACCCTGATCCCCATCCTCGATAATCTCCAGGGTGTACGTTACGATAACTCTCCACTATACCCTGGATGCATCCACGGCTTAGGGCGATGATTTTATTACCTCCCTTGGCTGGCTCCGCATTCTCACAGTAGCCAATCAGCTAAGCCGCCGTTACAACCGAGCTTGCCAGTGTCAACAAGGATAGCGGTCGCAGTCGCGAAGGTTTGTTCGCAGTGCCAAACAGATTTTTGGGGAAATAATAAAGACAAATTGACAGATCTGAAACTTTAAAAAATATATGACAGAACTCCTTCTACTTCTTTCAGAGTACCTCTGCATCAATTGTGTTGCCAAGTTTAAACGGTTAGATAATTTAAGAAGCGAAAGTGAGTTGTGATTGGTACGCTCAACTTCCCTGCGTAGGCACCTGATTGGATAAAAAGCCATCCAATCGCCGTGGATGCATCCAGAGTATAGTGGAGAGTGATCGTAACGTATACCCTGGAGATTATCGAGGATGCCTGATCCCATAAATATATCAAAGTTTATACACAGATGCATAATAAAGTCTAAATAGATAAAAATCTCAGATCTCTGCTGTCTGATTTTTAAATACAGAGTGTAGTTACTGTAGTTGCTGTGCTTACTAATGTGGTAATGTTGTCCATGGCAACCATCATATAACCTATGGTGATTATCATTAGTAAAGTGATCATGCAACATTTCATTTCAATGATGAAGCTTACAGACAGTACTGTTTTAATGACATGAAGCTACAGACAGTACTGTTTTAATGACATGAAGCTACAGACAGTACTGTTTTAATGACATGAAGCTACAGACAGTACTGTGTTAATGACACAGACAGTACTGTGTTAATGACATGAAGCTACAGACAGTACTGTGTTAATGACATGAAGCTACAGACAGTACTGTGTTAATGACATGAAGCTACAGACAGTACTGTTTTAATGACATGAAGCTACAGACAGTACTGTTTTAATGACATGAAGCTACAGACAGTACTGTTTTAATGACATGAAGCTACAGACAGTACTGTGTTAATGACATGAAGCTACAGACAGTACTGTGTTAATGACATGAAGCTACAGACAGTACTGTTTTAATGACATGAAGCTACAGACAGTACTGTGTTAATGACATGAAGCTACAGACAGTACTGTGTTAATGACATGAAGCTACAGACAGTACTGTTTTAATGACATGAAGCTACAGACAGTACTGTGTTAATGACATGAAGCTACAGACAGTACTGTGTTAATGACCTGAAGCTACAGACAGTACTGTGTTAATGACATGAAGCTACAGACAGTACTGTGTTAATGACATGAAGCTACAGACAGTACTGTGTTAATGACATGAAGCTACAGACAGTACTGTTTTAATGACATGAAGCTACAGACAGTACTGTGTTAATGACATGAAGCTACAGACAGTACTGTGTTAATGACATGAAGCTACAGACAGTACTGTGTTAATGACCTGAAGCTACAGACAGTACTGTGTTAATGACATGAAGCTACAGACAGTACTGTGTTAATGACATGAAGCTACAGACAGTACTGTTTTAATGACATGAAATTACAGACAGTACTGTTTTAATGACATGAAGCTACAGACAAATTCGAGACTTGTTTTGAAAGTGTATTTAACAAACTGATATTTACTAATGTATTTGTTTCAGATGATCGGGTTAGAATGAATCTTCAGTAACCCATGCTTGTCGTAAGAGGCGACTAACGGGATCGGGTGGTCAGGCTCGCTGGCTTGGTTGACACATGTCATCGGTTCCCAATTGCGCAGTTCGATGCTCATGCTGTTGATCACTGGATTGTCTGGTCCAGAGTCGATTATTTACAGACCGCCGCCATATAGCTGAAATATTGCTGAGTGCAGCGTAAAACTAAACTCACTCACTCAGATGATCAAAACTGATTTGTTAGTGGAAGCTATGTGAAGTCACACTGCTTAATTGTTGAGAACAGATCACCAAATAACGGTCACAAATCAAGGTAAATATGTTCATTGATAAAGAAGAAATTCTATACTTTTTCTTTATTTTCATCCTTAAAATGACGATGGCTAAATTTGAGAGGAAAGCATAGCTAGAGTCCGTTTCATTTCATTTGAGAACGTCCAGCTAGGGTCCATGCAGGTAGCAAAGGTACTGTAAGTCCCCATGGTCCCTAGTACGGCGAACTACCTTCAGTTGTTGGTGATCTATAGCCATTTTTATATTGTGTTGTCCTCTATAGTTTAAATGTTTTATATTTAATTACTAGTTGTACATTTATATCTGTGATATTCTAGTTGTTTTACTGTCCTTCGTTGACAGGATTTTATACTCTATCTTTATTATTGTTAATATATATGTTGTTTTAGTCACGATATGGCTGAAATATTGCCAAAGTGACTTTAAATTTTAACTCACTCACTCATTTGAGAACGATGAATTGCTCACTAACACAAAATCTAATAATTGCAACAAAACCACATTTTGCACATTCACATGAAATCGACAGACCAACTCTAATGATTTGTCTCATAATTTTGGACAACTATTAGATTTTGTGTTAGTGAGCAAATTCATCGGCCTCAAATGAAATCAAATGGACTCAAGAGTCAACATAGCCACCAGGACAAAAGAGATTTTTCAAGTAAGAAACAGTCTGAAAATTGGGTATTAGTTTAAGCAAGTTGGGGATTCGGTCATTGGAGAACATAGCCACCATATTCTACTATGTTCAGTGTGAAATCATACAGTGATTGAATGAAACTAGCTTTAAGTGCATTAATGTGTCCCACACAGCCAAACTGAAGTTTAAAATGTGCACCTTCATAAATATAATAAATTTACCTGTCAATAAATATTTATCACATAAAAAATAATAAATTCACAATTTATTGCGTTGTCCTGTCATCACCAGATCAAGCTCATGATGCCAATCACTGACTTGTCTGGTTCAGACTTAATTGTATACACACCGCACTCATCAAGCTGGAAAATTGCTGAGTGCTGCACCCATGAAGATCCGGGTTAGAACTAATCTTCAGTAACCCATGCTTGTCGTAAGAGGCGACTAACGGGACCTGGTTGTCAGGCTCGCTGACTTGGTTGACGCCTGGATCGTATGCCAACTGAGTAGATCGATGCTGATGTAGTTCATACACTGGATTGTATAGTCCAGACTCGATTACTTACAGACCGCCGTCATATAGCTGGAATATTGATGTGTGCGGCGTAAAACTGAACTCAGTCAATTAATGCTGATAGCAGCGTTAAAAAGGAAAGAAACAAACAAAATAAACGACCACAGATATAGAATTACTAGAAACGTTTGCGAGCTATAGAAACGAACAAGTCTATGTTTTTTCGGGAACTAGGGCGACAACTGATATCCAGACCAAACTTACTTTAAATCTTTTAAAATAGTCTTCGTTTGTGTTCTGCCGCAGCATGCTTTCGTCTTCACTGCTACAGAGTAGAAACAGTTGTGGATGGAGATGACAGAGGACTGGATGTTCTGGGAACCGCTCAGTCTGAAGCCTGCCTCGGGGTCCAGTGTTGCACTACCGTTGTCCGTGGTTCCAGACCGTACAGACACATTCCCGTCCTCCGGTGACTTGGCTATGAGGACCTCCTTTGGAACAACGGGATTCATATTTATCCCTGTCGTTGCCAAACCTCTTTTTGTACTAGCATCCATTGCACCGGTCGACTGGTCGTACTGATTTGACCAAAGGCCCTATCCTGTACTGGCAGGCCACGGGTAAGCCGATTTGGTGTGTAGGGGTGTCAACACATTATATAAAACATCACATATATATACTGCAGTCGTAATCAACTTATCAGAACGACTGTTGGGACGAGGCCGCTTACAGGTAATACATACGTACACCACTAACTTAATTAAAATAACGCTAGAGTACGAATTGACATACAGGTATTAACCCAACCGGAAACACAATCGATTCGTCGAAAAAGACTATTCTTCACACAGACGGGTATATCTAAATACTGTTGGTTTCGCACGTGGCTTAGGAATCTGCAAATGTCCACCACCCACATTCCTGGCCTGCGTTACATAAATACAGTTGGGTGTGTCATAATTACATTTCGTCCAGTTACTAATGTATTTATATAGCAGATATGGGTAGTGCGTTAAGTTTACAATTTATCAACTTTCTTCGGGTGGTTGCACGTGCACCTCCGAGGGGAATTACGCCACTGATGCGTGATGAACACCTCGTGCGGTACGTCATGAATCTGACGGCAATATTTCCACTCTCTTTCAAGCCTTTCATCATGTTGTTATAATGTTATCCCGCATTCTATTTCACTTGCCCATCCTCCCACCTTGTGATGCCATTTAGGCCTAGTTAATAGTAACATTCCATTTCGAAATTGGGGTAGCCCTCAAGAACCGCTAAACCCTTGGCACCTGTGAAGATCCGGGTAAGAATTGATCTTCATTAACCCATGCTTGTAAGAGGCGACTAACGTTATCGGATGGTCAGGCTCGCTGACTTGGTTGACATGTCATCGTATCCCAATTGTGTAGATCGATGCTCATGCTGTTGATCACTGGATTGTCTGGTCCAGACTCGATTATTTACAGACCGCCGTCATATATAGCTGGAATATTGCTGAGTGCGGCGTAAAACTAAACTCACTCACTCTAAACCCTTGGTCATTATATCCACCGTTGTGCCTTTGTTATTCCTTCAGCATGACCCACGTCTCTGGAAGGTGGGCTCTTACTGTAATATCATGCAATAAATGCCTGGTTGAAACAGCACTATAGTTCTGATGATTGTGGCACAGTCGTGTAAAATATATGAACTTGTGCATGCATGAGTGAATGAGAGCACGTGTTTGTTAACTGATTACAGCATAAAATTTAATAAAACAGCAGGGTTCCCGTTTCCCACGTTGAGCTTCCATGCCAGTAAACTGGCACTACTTTCGTGTGGTATTATATGGCTTCACGTTCGCCACTGTCAGTTAGACCCATATTCAAAAATGTTTCAAACGATTGAACGTATTAATTTTATGCAACGTTGTGTATTTTCCTAGTCAGGCAAATCAATGAGACAGGAGCAGTAATGGGGAAAGTCGACTTTCTTCAGTGGACGGGTCCACTCGGCTGTTGTACCCGTGTTATACACTGATACCGTATCTGGCCTTGCTATTGGTACAGCGATTAACTCGACAGATCGGTTAATTCTTCAGTCGTGTAAAATTAACGAGTCCTGCAGTGCTGGCACGCCTATATTTGTGTCCGTATGATATATATTCCTGTTATTTGTTGCCGATGTTAAAAACACAATGTTCAACTTCAGTTATTATGTAAGTATATCTTTACTGGAGACTGCTGTCCACAACTCCCAATTGCAAATATAGGTCACATTGTTAACATTGGAGACTTACTTAGAAAGTTGTATAGAGACATATATAATCTGTCTGGCACCTATCTCCATTACCACCACCATGCATAGCGCCGGAGTAACCATCACAATCATCTGTTATGACTTCTAAAGTACAAGCATTTTTATGGAAAAGTGAACACGAGCTGGTATTCCATGGACGTCCTTTATAATGACAGGATAGTGGCGTTACGTGCAGGGTGACGGTGCCATGTGACCCAAATACCTACCTGAGTACCCGACCCTGCTGCCCTACATATTTAGCGCTGTTTATGTCGCACAACCCTCATCTTCCGAGCAAAGTGTCAACTTGCCTGTCTCACAATCTACCGTACTTCCTCCATTAAACCGCTGGGCGTTTTCAATGTAACACTACCTATTTCCAACTACCCCGATTCGCTTTGATATCGATTCAGTTATCTTCAAATGTCCAAACACTTGTGCTATACGCGCCCAGTAGCCGCAGTACAATACGGTATATATGCGATAAGACACTGCACTCAGCATTCCTCGAGACCCGGGGTTTGTCATTTCTAGACTCCCCGTTCACCAGCGGATAACCAAGGGCCGGTGTTTATTGTTTCTGGACACCACGTTCACCAGCGGATAACCAAGGGCCGGTGTTTATCGTTTCTAGACACCCCGTTCACCAGCGGATAATAAAGGGTCGGATTTAATGTTTTCAGAAACCCCTCATCCCGACATTTGACATTTTTAGTGTAGTTGTTTGAAACGTTGATATAGGCCTGTGTATACGTTCTGTTGCCTTGGTAACATCTGCTGTCGTTGGCTTCATATTTTCCCAAGTGCACTAAACAGGTGCCCCATACTGTTTATTAATCTGTTCACTGATACCGCCCCAGTCAAGCACCTAAAAGGTATCTTCCCAGTCTCATGAATTTAAATAGGGGCGGTACCCCGGAAACGACAAAAATATTCTCTTTTGAGCACTGAAGGAAAAGGATATGTTATCAGCTGGTTATTGCCTTAGCTGCAGAGTACTGTCTTTTCATACTGGTGGTTATTGATGTGACCACTGTTTTCCACCAAGCATGACGACCTTGCACAGAGTGTGGCTTTGTGCTGACGTTGCTTGAACTATACTTTGGGTCGTACATTGTGTTGCCATTCGATCCAAGTTGAGGACGTATTAACTCTTTTCAGAAGAGATTAATGCACATAAGACTAAACATTTAATCTCCAGTATGAAAATAACAATTTAATCTCTCTCTCACACACACACGCGCTCACACACATACACCCCCCAATAAATCCAACAAAAAACAACAACAAAAAAAACCCAAAACCAGCAACAACAAAAACAAAACAAAACAAACGCAACAAAAAAACAACAAAACAACAACAAACGCGGAACGGTAAAAAGACATCCCTCGAGAGTTTGGGCGTTTCACACGCAACAAACACAAAGAGACGAAAAAGGGGTTGGGTTTTTCTAAAAAAAACATATAACCCGCCTCTCTCTCTCTCTCTCTCTCACACACACACACACACCGTTCAGTAGGTCAATGATAATGAACATTAGTGAACATGTTTGTCACTGGCGAGGTCACATGAGTATCATGAACCGTCCCAACATGATATAAAGCCGCTGGCAGTCACCTGGCTGCCGACCCTTATGCTGATTTTTGCATTACTGTTTGTAATATTCCTTATCTCAGGAACCGCCTGTTACAGATCCCCATTGCAAAACCATCCTGGAGGCCAAACCGACATATTGCAGCCTAGATCTGCTACCCACCAAGTTCACGTTGAAGATCCTGGACGTTCTCCTACCCACCATCACAGATATAATCGATTTCTAAAGAGAATAACCAACGAGGTACGAGTGATTACGGGAAATATGCCCGAGTTGAAATAATGGTCACATTATTTTAACGAGGGCATAGACTGTGTGTCTAGTGACGGTGTAGTGTTGAAACACATTTTGCCAAAAACCTGTCAATTTTTGGGAAAGTCAACGGTTAAAGTTGGGAAATCTAGAAGACAACCATCCCACGTATATATCTAGAAAAAGTTGTGTCAAGAAACTCAACAAGTTTGAAGATTAAACAACATTTTGTTCTGTGGAAGGTGTGTTACAGTCACGTCATTGGTCCCAGTGGAGCACAGCAGTTCCAAGAAGGATAACTCTAGTCGGAATCCGAGTCAATGGGAAGAATATGCCTCTTTGGAGCAGATGATCGACTGACAGAGGAGACATTCGAGATGTTGAAGTGGAATACACTACCATAAATTGGATCTGAGAATAGTGTATGTACAGAATGAAGATTTACGGCATGCGACAACTGTGACGCCGTGGCAGACTCACTTTTAGTCGGTATGTTCTGCTTCTATTTCCTCGAATTCAGTTTTAACAACAAACAGGTTGTAGGAATATAAGGGCTGTAAAATTCTTATCACTCTTCCTGTTAGGTCCCCGTCAACTTTAAAGTTCTAGGCCATTGGCGCCCCTTGATCGGGGTTAGCGTAATTGCGGCCATAATTGTTTACAAACAATGCATACGATTGTTGTTGTTTTTTTTGTGTGTGTTTTTTTAAGGTTATTTATTTTAAAAAGACTACTGTTTAAAACGCAATTTTATTGCAAAATAATAATGTCTAATAAAAAGAGTACTCATATTATTTGACCTTTATGTTTTCTTTTGTAAATCTCGGAATGTGTGAGTACAGCACGTTCTAATTATCAATGAAACGGTAAATGTTGTCAATGAACGTGGATCATGAAAAGTAGTTCCGTCAACCAATCATATTTCTTCTGTGCTTAGTTGACCAATCAACGTTGAGAATCACTGAAAAGCAGACGTGCAATTACCACAAAAATAATCACCCGTGTATCCAAGCCCGTATGGGTAATAAGTTGGTATATCCACGGGAGTTGTGCCGGATTACTTAAAAAAAACATTGCCAAACCGCTTCTGAAGAAGTCAAATTTAGATCCACAGCTGCTCAAGAACTTTAGGCCAGTCTCCAAAATATCGTTCATATCCAAAATCCTAAAGAAGATAGTAACGAGACAGTTACTGTACCACCTTACCTCAAATGATCTACTTCACAAGTATCAGTCAGCATACATACAGGCCAACAGTACGGAAACAGCATTGAACTGTGTGATGAATAGTCTACACATGTCTGTTGACAGAGGGGATATTTCTATGCTAGTATTGTTAGACTTGTCATCCGCTTTTGATACCATAGATCACAGCATAATATTGCACCGTTTCGAGAACAACGACATCGCAGGGACAGTGCTTCAGTGGTTTGGGTCGTACCTCTCAAACAGGTCACAGGCAGTCTAATTGGTGATCAGTCTAAGTAAACTTAGGCTCAGTATTATTCGTTACACTGCTATACTGAGTCTAATAAACCCTAGTAGAAGGTCGCGTCAGCTAACCTTTTGGACTGACCAATCAGCACACAGCTTACCAAATCGCGAAAGTTAACATTCGCACATACCGTTTGAACCTTGACCTCCAAAACTCGAACAATTCCGAATGCTATTTTCCGCACGATCGCTTCCGAGTGATATACATGGAAGACGCAATGAGTAAACAGTCGCTGAAAATAGTGTTTTTGACAATATTCAAGGATGTCATCTTGCGGAAATGTAAGCTAATAGTAATCATGTCATTAGAAACCCCTAAGCGTATATACTGCAGGTCGAATATCTGTGTTTTAAGCGGATTTTCGTTTGTTGATAGATCAGTGTCACAGACTAGGGAAGAGAAAATCCAAAAACGATTTTGTAAGTCCCGCCGAACCCTAAGGTCATATATAGGTCGCGCAAGACGCGACCTTCTACTAGGTTTTGTTAGACTCAGTATAGCAGTGTAACGAGTATTACTGAGGCTAAGATTACTTAGACTGAATTGGTGACGAGATGTCCGCTTCAGCTACATTGTTCTGTGGAGTGCCACAAGGATCAGAGTTGGGGGCCAATACTTTTTACCCTTTATACAACACCTCTAGGTCAGTGTATTGAAGAACATCAGATACCTCATTACTTCTATGCAGATGACTCGCAAGTACAGAAAAACTTTAAGCCAACACCCGTCAGTCAATCTGAAGCAAAACATGCCATGTAACAGTGCATTGTTGATGTCAGTGCATGGATGGAAAAGAACAAGCTGAAACTCAATTCAGACAAAACGGAGGTGATTCAGTTCGGACCTCCATTCATATTACGGAAATGTACTTTGGATCATCTGTCTATCGGGTGAGCAGACATCACCTTCAAGTCATCTGTCAAGAACCTCGGTGTGTACCTTGACTCCTCGCTATCCATGGAAGATCATGTGAGCCACTGCTGCAAGGTCAGTCATTACCACCTGAGGAACATCAGTGCCATCAGACATTTGCTGACGAGAGACGCAGCTGCCTCCCTTGTGAGATCTCTGATATTCTCTCGATTAGACTATTGCAACAGTTTGCAACAGATGAGACGTCTGCAGCACATCCAGATCTATGCTGCCAGATTGTTCACTCGGATGAGCATAAAGGCACACATCACACCAGTGCTCAGCTCGCTTCACGGTTATCTCCCAATGACAGACACCCCTTTGACAGACAGTCGAACAGACACTGAACTAGAAGGTTAATTAGGGTAACACCTACGGGTATAATGGAACAGTCCACTGTCTCGTGAGTAGAGTAGGGTGAGCCTGAAATAGGTTCGCTACTATGAAGTTTGATTGTGTGTAAATAGAACTCTGGTGTGATTAAGTGGTAATCTGTGTTCTCTTTTCAAAATTGTTTTCACTATCAACTACTATCGAATAAATACAAAGGCTTGTCACTGAGAGGTTTGATTACGCTTATTGATTGAAACATTTTATTCATACCGGAAACGGATTGGGCACAAGTTATCCGACTTAGAAAATCCCTATCCCAGTAATAGGATATGTACAACAGAAGTTAACTGAGAAAACGTTTTGTTTGAGAGATATAGATATGTACATACTCGAAAACATTGTGATTTTCAGTAAATGAGAGACCTGCATTGCCATGTAAGATAAGATTAATACCAATCAGTGTTCTAATGTTTAACAATACTTTCTAAAGATTGTAACAGTTTATGTCTTTGAATAGTATACAATGGGCATTCAAGGAAGTAATGAAAAACATTCTCACACCCATGGAGACATTGACATGATGCGTCAGTCTTTTATATTTATTCTAAATAAATCACAATGAAGTGTACTCATCATTTAGCTTAATCCTGTGTGGAAAAGATTTAAAAAATAATAAAAAGATGATGATGAGTACCTCAGTCTTATACATGGTTTGCTAAAACATTTAAAAACAAAAAATAGGCGACTATACCTGTCGTAAGAGGCGACTAACGGGATCGGGTGGTCAGGCTCGCTCACTTGGTTGACACATGTCACCGGTTCCCAATTGTGCAGGTCGATGCTCATGCTGTTGATCACTGGATTGTCTGGTCCAGACTCAATTATTCACAGACCGCCGCCATATAGCTGGAATATTGCTGAGTGCGGCGTAAAACTAAACTCACTCACTCTGAACTCATTGTTTGTCTGGTTGCCTACTACAGGTGGGAGTAAATCCTGAAGAAAAACTGGTGTTCTATATAGTATGAGCTTTGATCTCGGAAATATTCCAATCATTTTAGATGTCTTTTTGACAATGTTTTCAATACGATGATGCCAATTCCCGTTAGACAAGAAGGTTAAACTGAATGTTTATGAAAATCAACTGTTTTTATATTGCAGCAATCAAAATTCAAATTAATGTCTTTTCGGCCATCTTTCAAAGTAAATAATAAAGCTTAAGTTTTTCTTTGTTTTTATTTGGACTATTCCATTATAATGTGTAGGCAACATGAAGTAGCTAATCTGTTCATTGGACCGTAAATGTTGTTGTTTTAAGGCGTCTGCGAACTGCCTGTCTGCGTAATGGGAGGACACCCGCTTCACTGGCTCCGCATTCCTGAGCGAATCATATTCAAAATACTCTCGCTCACTTACCAAGCTGTCCATGATAATGGACAGCCTATCTGAGTGATCTGACTGTCCCATACTTCCCTTCAAGAACTCTGCGCTCTAGTCAACACCACCTCCTTCAGGTGCCTGTCACCAAACTTAAAACTTTCGGCTCCAGAACCTTCTCTGTCTCAGCCGCTACTCTGTGTAACTCTCTACCCGAATCACTGAAGTTGATTCGATCTCTAGAAACTTTTGAATCCAGTCTTAAAACCCACCAAGCATTATACCTGAAAAGAACGCACGCACGCACGCACACACACACCACACCTAAAACTCATACCATTGTGAAAAACTCAACTGCCTCTGTCACCATCGTTTGAGACAATGCGCTTTGATCATACCTTCATGGCGTGGATATAGCACATGTGCCATTAGTATTATTATTTATTATTATTGCGACAGTTCGATATTCTGTTCAACCTTATTGACCTTATTACTGCCAGTTAGTTATACAAGGCAGTGACTCAGGAATGTCTTTGTATAAAGGGTTGCATAAACCGATTACCTATCAGTGCTTGGCGCGGTTTTACACAATTAGTTGGGCGGAAGGGAAAATAAGGGATAGCATGCACGATGAAGTGAGTTCGAGGCCAACGCGGAAATGGAAGACACGATCTGGTGGCAACCCTTTCGTATCACATTTGCTCTACAAGTGTTTCAGGTGATCTTGAGTACATGGTACACTTTATAAGTGTTACATCACGGGAAACATTTTAGTATCTGCACGGAGCGGTGTTATCTTTTTCAGTGGTCGATCGTCATTCCGTCCTCGTGTTTGTAAAAACAAAGTATGGATGGTACGGAAGGCTGAATCCCGCACTGAAGTAAAATCCATGGTGATGATGTGTACGATTATACTCTTTGTAATATGGCATATGCAGTGCGAGGAAGTCGGAACCGTCAATTCTCTGGTCCCGAGCTATGTACTCAGGCCTATTCATATGACCACAGCGGTTACTAATGAAACCAACCATCGACAAAACACGCGCTCCAAAATCAATATATCAGTCAAGAGCTCCCTGTGAGTTTCCCATCGAAGGGAGATAACAGTGATGTTCGACCAAATGGTTTTGTGTTTCCGAATGAAATCTGGATTATTTTAGTTTGACACCTGTGATGTACACGTGTGTCCCCAGTCCCTGTATCACCACATAACATATTTTCACTTCTTTAGTTTTCTTTGAATTTGCCATGCACAAGAATTGATGTTATGAAATGGAGTTTGTTTGTTCTTACAACAAGCATGGGTCGTTGAAGACCCAGATCTTCATGGGTTACAATTGCTGAAGTTTTGTGAATACATCTTGTAACTACCACTATGAACCTGAAGGAGTCAGTGAGTAAATGAGTTTACTTTTACGCTGCTTTTAACAATGTTCCAGCAATATCACGGCAGGGGACACCTGAAGACTTCGAAGGAGCAAATCCAACCAGTAAGTCTCTGCTGACAGTTCGCTGCAACAGATCCGTGAAAATATTGTACGAAAGCTTCAGTAGCTATTGCAACCAAAAGGGGCAGAGTCAACTGAAGTACATCGTAAATGATCCAGAATGCATTTTGTTCGTTAACACAGGATAGAATGTTCCACAGGCTGTTATTATTGACTTATCGAGTATGTACCTATGTACCCAAAAATGGTTCCAGTGGGCTGGCTATTTTCCCCGCATGGACGACTGTCGCCTCCCAAAGAGACTGCTAGAGAGGGGAGCTATCTACAGACAAATGTTCACTAGGCAGACCAAAGAAACGCTACACTGACACACTGAAGGAGTCTCTCAAGCATTGTGACATTCCCCATTCCACCTGGGAAGACACCGCTGAGGACCGTGCAGGTTTGGCGCTTCCTTGTGATTCCAGAGTGTCTGTTTTGAAGAGAGACGACAGGAAAGGAAAGACCGAGAGAGCTCAGACTCCGAGCCTGGCTCAGCGGTATCAACATCCCCACTGCAACAGCCTTTCCGGGGGAAGAAGGCACCATCGGTCATCTCCGAACAGTATCTTCTTTCACCAAAACTATAACATATATCCACTACATATATAGCTAGCCATCAGTGAATGTACCGGCTTTCTACATTTGGTACTTAATTCCTACATAAATCGTACAATATACGATTTGAAATTCGTTTTCCAGCAGATTGTCAGAATGGTTCGGACTACTTACATGTCATATTTATGCATATACGTTGCTTGAAACAAGAAAGTTTCCTTCCAAATATTCTGCGAACTCATGTTAGGCCATGAGCCAGACAATTTTTCGGTACCACTGAGAGGGCCCAAACACTTTTATGGTTTTTTAAGTGGTTATGGTCTCTCTGTCTCAAAAATGTATAACGGCCATGTCGGTTTGGTAGCTCAAACTCAGAACGAGGCTAAATCCATGATGGCCACCAAAAAAACAACACAGGATTTTTCCAAAACTGTCAATTCCAAGTTTAAATCATGAGTAAAGTTCAACAAATAGGATGTAAATGAAAAAAAGGAGGTAAACTGGTGCTATCATATATCAAGAAGATTTAATTAATATCAAGTTGTGTTATTTGATACCTTTAAATCATTTTTTTCCTGATTTTGTATGAGTCAAAATTGTAAGTTTTTTAGAGCTTTTTAGAAAACTCATCATTTCATTTATTCTGAAGACAGTTCTTTATTTTCAAAGAGTGAGAGGACCTTCAAGTTCCTTAAACTGTTCCGCTTCATAAACATCAGCTTCATTATCAGTGTCACTCTCTGGCATGTCAGGGTCCTCGCATACCATTTTGTCACAAGTCTGGCTCCGACATGTCACAGTCCATTGGAAAGGCATTGACAACTTGGCAGTTTGCAGACTGTTGTGCACTTGCAAGAAATGAACTCAAGAACAGCATCTGGAGCAAGAGGTCCTGTCATCCAGCAAATCTCTATGTGACCATTTTCTTCCACCCATCCATGACCATCTGTCGCCTGTGGAGTTGGATATTCTGCTTCTAGACAGTTGTTGCATATTGCAGCTTGATAGTTTGCTCTAAGGATGTGCATAGATAGACAATAAAAACAGGGTGGCAATTGCCCTGATTCAATTGCCCCTTTTCTGGCTTCAAATAAGTGGTAGCACAGTTGATTGACATCCCTTAAATGCTTGTAGTGAGTCGATCAAATCTGGTGGTACAGTCCACTCATTTCGAAGTTGCTGGAAAGCCTTTTGATATTCCATGCTGTTGACAGGAAGTTTGAATGCATTGACCTTCCCCCTGCCTCCAAAGGAACTGACAGTATCACATCCAGTGTATGCGTGCAGTCCAGGTAGGGCCTTGCAAACGCTTTGACCAAACACCGCAGCAACTTTCTTGATATCAATGAATCTTTGGGGATTTCTTCTACCAGCTCTGATGTAAATATTGGTGGCAATGTCACTACTCTTCGCTGAGGACAAGACAAAGACATCTGTGTCATCTGAGGAAATGACAACTGATGATGATTCCAAAGATGCGTGTTTAGCATGCAACAGCATCCGCGTGTCTGCTTCTTCTTGGGTAGCTGGCAAGGATTTAACTTCAGCTGAAGTTTCAGAGGGCATTCTGTAGCACTTGCTTCCACATGTCACATATAGTATTCTGTCAAGTTTGGCCCTGGAATGAGCTAGCTGCCAGTCTTGAACAATGAACAGGATGATATTGGTTTTGCTTTCTGATGAAGTAAGAAGACGTCTTCACTGTCGTATCTTGTGTCCTGAAGCAATGTTACAGTAGACCAGGCTGTTCTCTGATCCCGGTTAACTCGCTCTGCTGACTTGATGGAGTTGTTATAGTACACATCAAATACCACATCGATGCGGTAGCTTCCTGTTCCAATATGTAGGGCTGATGTTAGAAGTGACTGTGACAGTTTCCCGAACGTCTTGTTCTCACCATGGGTTTTCTGTACTAGATTCATTCCATCTATGATGCATGTTGAGGGTCCAGGAATGACCTCTGGCGATGAAACAGATATTTCAAGATGTCTTACTAAGCTGCTTTGTTGGTCTTTTTCATTGTACCATCGCTGTTAGCTAGTGCCCATGGTAATGGCCAGAGAGGCAAAGCTAGTACCTTCTGCATATCCAGTCTCTTGCTTTGAGCGACAAGTAACATATGGCCAAATAGCTTGTGATCTGCTTTCAGGTTTGTTGCAGTATTTGACCCTTTCTTCTTTTTTTGGCAGTTGACATGAGTAATTGTTTTCAGACTTTGTTTTAGAAGATGATCGTAAAACTTCTTTTTCTGGCACTCAAGTCTTTCATCAGAAAATTGAAGGTATGCCTACTCTCCTAGCTGTTTGGCTCGCTGAAGATCATGAGCAACATTTGTTGGAGCACAAGACCCTGTCGATATGCTGATCAGATCAGATGGGCAGCTGTCAAAGGGGTTGATCCATTCGTCTTTCATCAGATTAACAATGGATTGAACATCAGATTCATCCTTGACTATCCTTGAATGTTACAAGTCATGGCGACTAAAGTCAGGTGCCCGAGTCTCTGTGAATCTTCTCAGCTGGTTAAGACTTATGCTTCTGTGTTCAGCAGTAAGATAGTACCTACTCACAGCAGATGGCTTGAGACTGAATCCTTTTGTTCCCCCAGCAGTCTGAGTGTCTTTGTTGATTGTCTCTTCAATTGTTTGGTCAACTGGTATCCGACCAAATGGGTTGTTCTCCAATCTTTGGACTGAAAATCCTCCATTTACAAAATGTGAGACGATCTGTCGGTGTTCATCCTGCAGTCTTGTCATCTCTGCTGGGTAGTTCCACTTGGAGACTCTGTGTTTGCACTGCTATGCCATTGACCCTGTGAGATGTTCCCCCGCCACTAAGTGTCTCCTCAAGTCTGTCAATGTTGTCAAATGCAAAAGTAGTTGGCACACCAGGATGGATGTGTAATGGAAATACCAACAGTTTCCTCTACAGCTAACTTCTGAAGGCATAGTGCTGTTTCGATCTCTTCCAATCTTGTATAAGAGATGCCATTGCCAAGTCTGAACATTTCCAGTTAATGCCTTTACAACCCATGGCAAAAGAAAATGTTTGGGAGTATAGAAAGTTCCACCGCTGACATTGTACATGACGTCCTGTGAGAGAGACTGTATGAGTCGATGGGTTTTGGATCAGTGAGTCTTGTCTTTGTCACCAGTAAGAAGGGTGTTCACAAATGTTGTGAGTGATATTGGCAGATTTTCTTTTACAGGATCAAGATCACGAGGATGTGGAGGCCATTTTTTGATTTACTTCAGCCTGAGTTGATTTAATATCTTTCCTCACTATCAAAGCAGCCTTAGTACCCGGAAGTGGATGAGTCTTGAAAGTTAAAAACACTGTCTAGATTACCTTAGTTACTAGGAACTATCACTCGTGGCATGACAAATCGTTCTTCGCCTCCATTACCCCTGCCGACTTCCGGTTTAAAGGAGTGGAGAAACAAGCATAAGTATAGATTTAGAAAATATACCATATTACCTAATTTTACCATTAGAGATTATCGGAGTTGGAGATTATTGTTCTTATTTGCCATCGTTATAGTTACAATTTTTCGTAAAATATATTCTACAAAAAAAACACCAAAACAACACTTCTGGCGTAGTGGGTTAATGAAAGCAAGGGAGGTAAGTCCGCGCAAGTATTCCACATGGCGGACATGTAATTCAACAAGTATAGTTAGATTTAACTCCCCTGTTCCTTCACTCTGTTGACCCGGAAGCAATTTAACAATGTTAGAACAAATTTAAGAATGTTGACTGCCAGGCTATTCATCAAATTATGTAAAAGCCTGAGTAAAATAGTCTGCGTTTAACATTTCCCAGTCTGAACATGATTGTCGTTTGTATGAAATTTATTTTATTGACAAAACTTTAAAAAATAAGGAAAGGAATATATATAAACTGACACTCATGCAAAAACTTTAGATCAATGTTATTATTACAACATGATGTCCCTAAGAGTGACGTGTTTGGCAGCTTGACTCCTGAGAGTTTCTAGGACTTCAGTCCTGCCCCACAACAAACCAGATGTGATACATGTGGTCTCATCTTAGGCAAGTGAGTTTGTGCACAATTGCCTCTGTTCACCCAGCAGAAAATGGGTACCCGGTGGGATAAGTCATGTGACTATAACCTTCTAGCGCGTAACAGGCAGCTTGGGTTATCCCTTGTAATAATGCGCTGTGCTATTCATTGTCAGCACTATGAGTATAACTGGTGTGGAGTTTGGCACTATATAAACCAACACAATATTATTATTATTACTTTGAAATGTCACTCACACTCACACACACACACTCACACACACAGAGAGACAGAGACAGAGAGAGAGAGAGAGAGAGAGAGAGAGAGAGAGAGAGAGAGAGAGAGAGAGAGAGAGAGAGAGAGAGAGAGAGAGAGAGAGAGAGAGAGAGAGAGAGAGAGAGAGAGACACAAATTATTTTTATGATTCTATATATAAGTAAGGTTATGGTCACAAAATCTAGCACCAAGGCACAGTAGTTCAACTATGTCAATAGCAACTAAACAATTGTTGCTGTCATGAAACTATGAAACAAGCCACTGACTGTACCTTATGTGTCTTAATCTCAAAATAAAGGAATGTACTATTGTAGAACATTTTTGCAATATTTTCCACAAGTATCCATTCAAAGCCTAAGATATACCATATACATGAGTATAATGTTTCTAATCACAGGCATTACTCCAGGTGTTTCACCCCTGACAACCAGGTCATGACATAAGCTCAGAGACTTTCACTCAGGTGAGCTAAGGTACACAAAAAATAAATTCTGTAAAAATGAATACAAATACCTCAAAGTTAATTTCTCTATGAAGTTCAAAGAGGATTTGCTGAAGAACAAAATACATATAAAGGTTTTGACACTCCGATGTCAGGTCTAACCAAATATCACATTAAGCTTCCACACCAAACAATCACAACCATTCGGATTCCACAAAGATGATGTCTGAAACATCCAACCAAATAAACTATACAAAATCAACAAAATGTTGTTGGACAACTGTTGAATAAACAAAGAAGCAAAAGACAATAAAACTATATTCACTCGTTATATACTATACAGTTCCACTGTACAACCATTTTCAATTACTCATTGTCAGCAGCAGTACATCTGTCCCTGAGGAAAGTAAGATGATTTTTTTATTTATCTTAAACAACATTCTTAGATTTGCATGCTGCTCTATACTAAACCACTTATCCCAACATCAACACAAAAAATATGTACAAAACTATAGTCCTCTGATTAGGTGCACCCGTACATGGTGAGTGGAGCTTCCGTTTGTACTGCCACAAAGTCTACATACACCAATATGTCGCTCACACTGGAAGATGTATTATTTGAGCTTCTTGAGGCGACGCAGCTGTATATAGGACAGAATTAGAAAGCCGAGGGAGATAGCTGCCAGTGCCACCTGGGGTACCCACAAGTCCCATGTCGTCTCGTAGGCGATACCTTGCTGGCTGAGATACTCATCCCCTGTTGTGCTGTGGGAACATACACATCCATTGGCATACAACTGACAAACATACACATTACCAGGTAAACAGGATGCCCACTACAGTTTAAAGATATGGTTTTGATGTGAGAAGGCCTGTTTCTACTGTGATTGGACTGGTTTCAGTGAGTGTACCGAGGTTGGGAGTTACGTCACCCTTGACACACCGGTCCCATGGATCCAGCTGGTGGGATACGAGATTTATACACACTGCTGGTGTAACAGCATCACTGGTTGTTTGAAAAGACATACCTAAGGCCACAACAAATATATTTTCATCACAAATAACTTTACAATACGAGGTGGATGCCGAATGCTTGTGACAAATCAAGCCTCAATTACTTGCTCATTACACTTTAAGCTGGAAGACAGTTTTAGTACACTAACTTAGTTCTACCCAAAGTAATATTGAATAGATTCGTAAATTAATATACTCACCAAGTACCATTTGGCCCATTGTCACAGAAAACCTCACCAGAGAGCTCATTGATGCTGAGAGCCTGGAACAACCACACACAAAGTGATCATTCAGTAGGGATTCAAGTACACACAAAGTAACGATCAACTAAACATCATTCATCATGGAGACAAGCACTCACATGTGACAATCAACTAAACACCATTCATCATGGAGACAAGCACTCACATGTGACAATCAACTAAACATCATTCATCAGGGAGACAAGCACTCACATGTGACAATCAACTAAACATCATTCATCAGGGAGACAAGCACTCACATGTGACAATCAACTAAACATCATTCATCAAGGAGACAAGCACTCACATGTGACAATCAACTAAACATCATTCATCAGGGAGACAAGCACTCACATGTGACAATCAACTAAACACCATTTATCAGGGAGACAAGCACTCACATGTGACAATCAACTAAACATCATTCATCAGGGAGACAAGCACTCACGTGTGACAATCAACTAAACATCATTCATCAGGGAGACAAGCACTCACATGTGACAATCAACTAAACATCATTCATCAGGGGAGACAAGCACTCACATGTGACAATCAACTAAACATCATTCATCAGGGAGACAAGCACTCACATGTGACAATCAACTAAACATCATTCATCAGGGAGACAAGCACTCACATGTGACAATCAACTAAACATCATTCATCAGGGAGACAAGCACTCACATGTGACAATCAACTAAACATCATTCATCAGGGAGACAAGCACTCACATGTGACAATCAACTAAACATCATTCATCAGGGAGACAAGCACTCACATGTGACAATCAACTAAACACCATTTATCAGGGAGACAAGCACTCGCATGTGACAATCAACTAAACATCATTCATCAGGGAGACAAGCATTCTCAGGGAGACAAGCACTGTGACAATCAACTAAACATCATTTATCAGGGAGACAAGCACTCACGTGTGACAATCAACTAAACATCATTCATCAGGGAGACAAGCACTCACATGTGACAATCAACTAAACATCATTCATCAGGGAGACAAGCACTCACATGTGACAATCAACTAAACATCATTCATCAGGGAGACAAGCACTCACATGTGACAATCAACTAAACATCATTCATCAGGGGAGACAAGCACTCACATGTGACAATCAACTAAACATCATTCATCAGGGAGACAAGCACTCACATGTGACAATCAACTAAACATCATTCATCAGGGAGACAAGCACTCACATGTGACAATCAACTAAACATCATTCATCAGGGAGACAAGCACTCACATGTGACAATCAACTAAACATCATTCATCAGGGAGACAAGCACTCACATGTGACAATCAACTAAACATCATTCATCAGGAGACAAGCACTCACATGTGACAATCAACTAAACATCATTCATCAGGGAGACAAGCACTCACATGTGACAATCAACTAAACATCATTCATCAGGGAGACAAGCACTCACATGTGACAATCAACTAAACATCATTCATCAGGGAGACAAGCACTCACATGTGACAATCAACTAAACATCATTCATCAGGGAGACAAGCACTCATGTGACAATCAACTAAACATCATTCATCAGGGAGACAAGCACTCACATGTGACAATCAACTAAACATCATTCATCAGGGAGACAAGCACTCACATGTGACAATCAACTAAACATCATTCATCAGGGAGACAAGCACTCACATGTGATAATCAACTAAACATCATTCATCAGGGAGACAAGCACTCACATGTGGTAATCAACTAAACATCATTCATCAGGAGACAAGCACTCAGCATGTGATAATCAACTAAACATCAATCGGCTGTCTCACCACTGAAGTGCATCATGGTTAGGTTGAAACACACATGCAGGACTGATGATATACAACAGCTTCACTACAGGAGTGATTAGCAGCCATGTCAAGATGATGTGTATTTATGAGGTCCATGTATACATTCAGATCAACACTATGGCAGCCTGGTTATGTTGGGTCCCTCTGTATAAAGGTATCCACTGGGATCATGGGATGATCAGCGAGAATAGAGACAAACTGGGCATGGACATCAAGTCATGTTCATTGTTTAAGGAAGGCCTCCTATGCAAGTGCCACAGAAACAAAGCAATCATTGTCGCCACAACAGGTACCAGGGGTCTCTAGGCTCTATGATGAAGACTTGCACAGGAGGAGCGAAAACCTGGACAATATTTAACCTAGTGTTGCAATTGGTTATTATCACTGCCTCTCAATACCACATGTACCTATTAGGACTTACATCAAGACTGTATCTGAAGATACTGAACCATTTCAGCCATACCAGCCAATCGGCAATGGAGCTCAGGTTCACCAACAGTCCGCTGAACAACTGAAACAAAACACATGCGGTTTATATTCCAAATCCTCTTGGAAAAACCTTGTGCAATGAATACTCCCTTGCCACCTTCATTTTCCATCACTGTGTATAAATGGTTGATAAAAGTTACAAACATTCCTTATTACAGGAACAATAGTTTGATAGACCTTTGATGGTTCTAACACAAATAGAAAGTATTATCAGTCAGTAGTAAGCAGGCGTAGCATGGTTGATGTTGTCATATAGTGTTGGTAACTATGGGGACTCACCATCATAAACACATAGCACAGAGCGATGAGGAGGTTGGCGATTGCGAAGATGCGGACGCTGGCACTGATGGCAAATGCCAATCCTGAGGCTGCCAGTGCTGTTAAAAATAGGTCCAGCAAGAAGTAGAAGAAATAGCCAGCTGCACTTCTTAGACCTGCAATGTAGAGAGAGGACCTGTCATAACACCTGGGTAGTGGGTGTCCAGATAGTGACAAAGTAGGGAGAGGACCTGTCATAACACCTGTGGAATGGGTGTCCAGGTAGTGACAAAGTAGGGAGAGGACCTGTCATAACACCTGTGGAATGGGTGTCCAGGTAGTGACAAAGTAGGGAGAGGACCTGTCATAACACCTGTGTGACAAAGTGGGAGAGGGTGGGTGTCCAGGTAGTGACAAAGTAGGGAGAGGACCTGTCATAACACCTGTGTAGTGGGTGTCCAGGTAGTGACAAAGTAGGGAGAGGACCTGTCATAACACCTGTGTAGTGGGTGTCCAGGTAGTGACAAAGTAGAGAGAGGACCTGTCATAACACCTGTACATGTGTAGTGGGTGTCCAGGTAGTGACAAATGGAGAGGATCTATGCAGCATAAAGACTGTTTCAGATAAATCCATTTTCAAAACAATCACAAAGAATGAAATATCCTCTAATGCAGAAATATTCTAAATAATGTAATTTTCTGAATAAAATTGATATTTTATACTTATCCTGACTCATGCTCTTTTGCTTGTCTTCTTCTTCTTGCGAACATAGTGGAACACTTAGTAGTATATATAATGATAGTCCGAGATCAAGTCCAACAAAAGCCTCTGCAAAGCCTTATTTCACAAATAAAGCTTTTGTCAGGCCCTTAGATCTCGCCACCATTGTATCTACTACTTTTGAGCCCCCGTTAATTTCCCGCCCACACTTGGCACTACTGTGCCGCTATGCCACTTGTTTTGTTAACTTCCCGGCCACAAGTGGCACTACTGTGACACTATGCCACGTTGGCAGGAGGTAACATTGTACCGTACGGTACGATCAATAATTCCTCTCTAACGAACCCTCTACCTGGCCCATCTCTCAAGTAGTACAAGTTCGGCTCGTCTGCTTTGATGTCCACTTTATCTATGTTGTAAGTTTTGACTGACCATATCGGATCGGTGGCTCAGCTTACGGCTATCACCCTCGTGTTCCCCCGGCTGGTATAGGTACCTCACTAGGGCCCTATCTGGTATCTGTTTCTCCTTCCCACGCAATGGAGCAGCCGACTCTGCCACTATTGATTTTAGTTTGATAGCGTCTGCCGGTTTCTTACCAGTGAGCCGAGTGGCTTCATGGTTGATGTCCGACACCACCTGAGGTAGCCGCGCCACCCATTCAGTCGATCGTTTCCCCGGGTTGGCCATCTCTCTCGCATACTGGTGCTCGAATATGCGCTCAGCCAAAGTCCTATTGAATCTCTCAACTATGGCTTGGCTGCGATGGGCTCCGACCGTGCCACGCCTGACCTTGGTGTCGTGTTTATCCAGCAGGTGTGACATGGCACCCATATGCATGAACTCCCGCCCGGGGTCAACTTGCAGCTCTGTTGGCCACGTCAGCGGGCTGCGTTTGTATATGCGTTCGAATCCGCGGGCTACCTGGGCCGAGTCTTTCGCGGTCAAGGGTTCGGCTTCCTTGTAGCAACTGGCCACATCCACGACGGTTAAGGCATACTTGTACCTCTTATCATGGGGTAGGAACAGGAGGTCGGCCTGGTGAACGCTATTGGCAGTGTAGGAAAGATGTAGAAAATCTAGCCTGTCCACAGGACTGGCAGGTCAAATTATTTACCAGTCCTGCCAAAATCTAGCCTGTCCTCCAAATATAAATAAAACACCTTTGGCAGTAAATATTCAAAAAGGTTATAATCATTATATATATGTCATTGGTTTGCTCAAATTGACCCGACATGAGGACGGACTAGATTTTTTTTAACCCGTCCTCCACAAAATTCACCCGTCTCGGACGTTGGGACGGGCTATCTTTCCTACACTGCTATTGGGTATGTTAATACCGAACTTCCTTCTTGGCACGTAGCGTGGTGCCGGTAAATAGATCCGCCACAGGGCTTGTTTTTCAAGCCACGCTTTGGCCTCCTCCGGGGGTACTCGCGCCATTTTAGCCAGCTTATGTACAGCGCTAGCTCCTTTCCAGTACCCACGCGGGCTGTAGTAAATAGCCTCAAACTTTCTCTGGTTCCGTGACATGTCGCCCCGACAGGGTATGGTAATTACATATACACCTATGTTCTTGGTTCAATTTTCTCATGCCCGTACGCGTACGTGTTGATCCCATCAATAGCTATCCAATGCTTAGTGTCCACAGGGACGTCTTGTTTATAGTCAGTCCGTATATCCTATGCCCATCACTTCTAAGCGTGTTCATTTTATGCCTAAAGGTACGGGTCTTGAACAGGGCTTCCTTGAATCTGGCGTGTTTGATGTGTTGTTTCACCACGCACTTCTTAACACCCCTTCGCCTTCGGATCTCACCATTGTCGGCCTTCAGGATGGAGTACATCTTGGGTCTCAAACCTATGTACTCAGCTATGGGCGTGCCAGCACACTCGTCCTTCATCTTACCTAGGACCTTTTTATTTACCGTGCTGTGTATGGCATGGCCCTTGGGGTAGTCGCTGGTGTCATACAAATCGAGGCGTTTTTTCATGTCCTCATACACGTCCTCGGTTCGAATCTCCATCAGCAGGGAATCCGTTTCAGTGTACAGCACTTCACACCTGTCGCCGTACCGTTTTTCAGTTCGTTGTTGTAGTAAAAAGTCGTACATCAGGTGTTTGGATAAATCGAGGATGCTCATCCCCACGTAAACAGGCCGGTTGAATTTGATGTGGCTTTTCTTCATGTGTAGGGCAACTAGGTCGTCGGTGAATATTTTGCTACGGTTGAATGCCGGGCTGGCTATCAGCCTCCTGAGCTTGTCTTCCTCATTCGACCGAACCAGCTTCACGGTCACGCGTTTCCTCAGGTTCTCCATAGTCTTACCAAACACCGAGTTGTTCATGAGCTTGTAGAGATTTTTCTCAAAGTCACTGGTGGCAAGCTTTCGGAGGTCTGTGTTCATTCTGATGTAAGGCTCCATCCAGGGGCTCTGGTTGAACACGAGCACCCTGTGTATTTTGGTCAGCCTCATACCCAACGACAGGTACAGCTGTAGGTTGCGATAGTGAACGATGTACTTGGTCTTATTCATTAAGTTGGGCACGAGTTATGTTATGTTGGTACTCAGACATCCAGTCTGGGTTAACCCTCATACGTTCGGGGGCCAGGGGGTAGCTGTTGTGTGATGTGTGTAATGCCTTGGGGTATTCCAAGTCAACCTCGAGGATATAACCTTTGTTCGAATCGTCCCGCGATGCTCATAACATCGACCTCGTGCGATGTCCATTCGAATCCCCCTGTGGGTAGATACTGGCTCATGGCCCAGCCGTACAGGTTGTTGGCGTCGAGGTAGAGAATGTGATTGGTTGGCTTGCTCGGGTCGTAGGCCTTCACGTATTGATTATTTGCTTTCGCGTATCGTTTGGTAGCCATGGAAATCCCACCTCCCAAGCCTTTCTCAATGAATAGGTGCATGTCGTAATCGGTGAGCAATTCCAACTTAACTCCGGTCTTTTTCAACAATGCATCCCACGACAGACCTGGGCTGGTGTAGTACCATGCAGGGTCGAGTTGATACTGCTTAAAACACATCCGCCTAAACGTCTCAAACACGTCGGCTAGCAGCAGTACATCTGTCCTCAAGTACAGGTCGTGATAGTCACCCAGATTCTTACAGCCCAGTTTATTCCATACGTTAATCTCGTGCGAGTAATCGTCTTGGGTGATTGCCGAGTCGGTCAGGTTGCTGTAAAATTCTCTGATGGGGGGCAGTCGGGTCTCGGCGAACTTGGCCCTACCATCCATGTACTCGTAGGGGTACACACCCTTCCTCATCAGCAGGGTCGAGTCTCGGCGTCGGTGTATCGATCGGTGATGGGGAAGGTATCGTTGGCCTTGACCAGACTGTCGAGTGACGACAGGAGGAACTGAACCGAGTCGATGAACCTAAGGCCGTTTAAGCTGAAGGAGATGTATCTCTCCATGTTATTGGGGATGCACGTCAGGTTGCCGTTGACTTTCGCGATGGCCTGCATGATCAAGTGAGAGTCGTACCCTCTCAAGTTGTGGAAGACCACGGGGATGTTTATTGTCTTGGGGGTGATTCTAAGCTTGAGCTTACACGCGCTGTGAGCGGCGCCTCTATACTTACCGGTGACGTGGCAGTGATCTCTCACCGAATCACCGTTCAGTGGTGAGTCACACACGTGGCATTTAATGCTACAGGCGTGAGCTAGCCGGTCGGCTTGGGTCATACGCATTGGAGCGACTGTATACAGTGCATTCCTGATAGTTTTTTCTTCCTCCTGCAAACACTTTTAAGAAACTTTTCAGCCGCGTCGGGACCCCTATACACTACGGGAGCTTTCGTTTCCCCATCACATCGGACGACCACGTATCCAAACCCACAGGCCTCATGCTCCTGTGTTTTGTGTGTGAAGCTCTCACCTGTGGGGGTACCCCCGGCAACCTCAACGGGTTTGACCAAGGCTTCAAAGTCGGCGTATATGACATAAGGCACAGACATTTGGTTCTTGTGGTTGCCGAATTTTAGGATATTGTCACCTTCCTTAGGCATGTCGACTCGTATGGCCGTCTGCCCCACACCTTGGCAATCCTCCCGGTGGGATTCTAATAAATCAGCTCGGCTGAAACCGTGCAGGCATCGCACACAAAAGTGTTTTTTCCCAACGTGTTTCGACTGGTCGTGCAACAACTGACTGAGATGTTTTATCCACGTGTAGTGATACTTTTCACCTCGCTGGATCATGAATATATTAATAACGTGGCGTGGGGGTTCCCCCCCTGTTCCCCCAACAGTTGGGGTTTCCCCAACGCTGGGCTGACCCTGTGTACTATTGTTGTGTTGCCTTCGTGCCCTAATACGTTTATGGCTATATCATTCTGTTTTTCTGGAAACAAGGCTGACCTGATAGCTACCCTCAGGCAATCGTCTCCTCTATTCTTGACGTTGACCATGGCCTGTTTTTTCTTATAGTAGGGGGGCAAGTC